TAAGTATTACGTAATTAATTATGTCTGTTTCAAGTCAACAATGGCCATAAAACCAATAATGCCATAATGCGCTTGACATCATGTTTACAAATGTCGCTTTGTTGGAGAATATATTGATTCGCCTATTTTGAGTCATATGGAGAATAAACTACTTTTTGTATTACCAGTATTCGCCAATCGGGCCTGATGATATAACATTAACTTTATATTATTAATGATGTCTGTATCAAGTCAACAATGGCCATAAAACCAATAATGCCATAATGCGCTTGACATCATGTTTACAAATGTCGCTTTGTTGGAGAATATATTGATTCGCCTATTTTGAGTCATATGGAGAATAAACTACTTTTTGTATTACCAGTATTCGCCAATCGGGCCTGATGATATAACATTAACTTTATATTATTAATGATGTCTGTATCAAGTCAACAATGGCCATAAAACCAATAATGCCATAATGCGCTTGACATCATGTTTACAAATGTCGCTTTGTTGGAGAATATATTGATTCGCCTATTTTGAGTCATATGGAGAATAAACTACTTTTTGTATTACCAGTATTCGCCAATCGGGCCTGATGATATAACATTAACTTTATATTATTAATGATGTCTGTATCAAGTCAACAATGGCCATAAAACCAATAATGCCATAATGCGCTTGACATCATGTTTACAAATGTCGCTTTGTTGGAGAATATATTGATTCGCCTATTTTGAGTCATATGGAGAATAAACTACTTTTTGTATTACCAGTATTCGCCAATCGGGCCTGATGATATAACATTAACTTTATATTAGCAGGAATTGCTTTAAGGCGTCTCATTCCACTTCAGAAGTAGACATGCACACAGCAGATACACACGGGAATCAAGGATGATTACTGGAAGTTCGCCTTGAACTGTATTCAATAATGTAAAAATCATTTAAGCTTGACACTGAAAATGTACCATATTTATATGTTTGCGCAATGAGAGAATAAATTCATATACACATGAACTAGTCAGAATGAATTATCTTACCTTACACGTGCATGTCGGATTCTTATTGGCTGAGACCCATTCTATTTTTATCAATGTACTCCCTATAGTATAAAGTAAATTTCTTATGTTCCCCGCTCGATTTGCGGACTTGTTTGCATTACATTTGCCACATATCAAACACAATTTTGTTTCACGACTCAATTACGTGAGACGACATAAATCATATATTCGCCGGATATTTACTGTTCATTTCCTAATGAAATACATCCAGGGGAAATAATTCTAGTTTTCTGCCACAACGAAGTGGATAAATGCCTAACTGTGGTATTCTTACCGATTCGGACAAAAAAATGCATAAATAAGACATATCTGCAAAATAATTAGGTGTGCGGTAAGATATTTCGTTGTACACTATCCTTCGGGTGGCATGGGTCGGGGTACCTTTTTGTTCTCCTTAATGTTCTCAGAACTTCCCCTTGAGGCTCGGGGAAAATGAACCAAAACAAACAGGTGCGCAGCTAGGGAAAATTATAATGTAAGCAATCATATTGCAGTTCTCTTTTTTCTATAACACCCATGTCATTTATCTAACAAAAACGCAAGCAGAACTGTGCAGCAAATCTAAAAGAAGGATATCACGAAATATCCCTTCCATGTTTTCTACATAACATATTTAAAGTATAAAACAGTTTGATTATTGTGATCAAACCCAGATATCCTCATAAAATATAAATTATCAAACAAGAGAATAACCACTCTAGATTATCCACAGAAATATATCCCATGTAGTGTAAAGGGCAAAACAGCTGTGAAAATTATATTATATAAATCTATGATGACACCAGGTGTTCGCGAAAATGGTAACGGAAATGTAACAAGCAACCAACAACATCGAATCAACTCATCAGCCACAATTTTGACACTGGTAGGCAAGTCAACCTGTAAATTAACAATAGATCATGTAATGTGTACAAACGTCTGACAGAAGAACACGCTAAAGTACTCTTTTTTATATCTTATTTTATTTTTTAAACGATTTCAAAGTGTAAGCGACCCGTAAAGATCCGGGGTAGAATAGGTCTTCAGCAATCCATGCTTGTCGTAAAAAGGCGACTATGTTTGTTATAAGAGGCGACTAACGGGATCGGGTAGTCAGGCTCGCTGACTTGGTTGATGCATGTCATCGTAGCCCAATTGCGTGGATCGATGCACATGATGTCAATAACTGGATTGTCTGGTCCAGACTCGATTATTTACAGACTGCCGACATGTAGCTGGACTATTGCTGAGTGCGGCCCTAAACAATAAACAAATAAATTAGGGAGTCATATATTAAACAAAAAAAATAAAAATAAAAATTCAGTGTGTAAACACTTGATTTTTGTGCTAATTGGTAGATACGCTACTGACATAGATGATACATCAACCCATGTTCGCCCTCGAGACCGATGGCCAACTTATAATCTACCTATTCAAACAACGTGGAAACCCTCTGATCAGGGTTGTGTACAGAGATGCAGCAATCGTTGACTATTTTCAACAGATACCCAATGATCTCTCCTCCTTTGATTTGACCCCATTGACCCGCGTGCAAATACCACATTACCGTGTAGTTTTAATAGTGGCACCCCTGGTGGGCGAGTCTATTGTCTGGCTAGGGCCAGGGCGGGTCACACAGTAGAGTTTTGTCTTTGACCTGTACTGGACCAGCGACCTAGTTACATCGCTGCAGGCAAAGATTCTTCAATGACCATAAACAAAATATGGTGTATGGCTGATCCAGTCAGCGACGTGTCCGCGGAGGGGGCTATAAATTAACCCCCTCGAGATACGCTACAAATAAACAACAATCGTTTCATGATACACAAAACGCATAACAATAATTAATACATGATCGCATTATCTTGTCGCAATTAGTAGATTCATGTTCCAAAAGCTACTTAATACAATCTATTGAATAGAATAATATCGTTGTAAATTTTGTGTTGATGAATAGTTACATTGCATCAACAGTTTCACATCAAGTTTCACATATTAGCAGGGGTCTGATGTTGTTTTGACATATTGTACCGACATATATACATATTTTATTCTATAATTTCAACAGGCATTGAAATCTATTAACCGCCAGACCCGCCAATCTCTACTAATATAGGGGTCAAGGGTGTACCAGTCGTCTGAGGCGCCTGAATTTGCTGTGAGTTGCGTCCTTTAGGCGTGCCAGAAACCTATGATCGTTGGTTCGAATCCCAGTTTCGCTCATATTTTACATCTATTCGTCAATGTCTACCCGTGCATGTGGGTTTCACCAAAATGGTAAATGTCTAAGACCTGCATCACTTCAGGCCCCCCTCCCACATCAAGCTGACACGCCATGGCGTAACAGAAATACAGTCCTTAGCGGTATTAAACCTACTACAATGAAACCATCAGTCAGAAAACCCGTCTTCCGAGCGCTAACTGACGACGAATGGTCGTTGTTTATCGTACAATAATATACTGCAGGAAGAACAAACCATTAGGGGCGAAGGTTTATTCTTCCTGCATTGTTTTATTTACGATAACCAACGACCATGAGTAGTATATTTCTTAAATGAGATATCAACATTATGTACAGCCTCTTTATGGTTGATGTTAAATTAATTTTTTAATTGAAAGTTTACACGATATACTGCGTTTCATTTGGACGAGAGGTCGGTCACCTGACCGCGAAATTGACGTTCATTATTGTATGAACGACACAATTTGACGGACATTCCCCCACATTCCTGGGGAAACCCCTTGGAATTCCCCAGCACGAATACGTACAGAAGCATTCTTTCTGATCATTAAGAGCCTTTAATCTTGAACTCAGCGTTTCAGTATACATTGAGAAACGTTAGAGTTTGATAGCACGTTCGTTCACGTATATCCTCGCTACTCCCCATCCTAGTGAACAAAACGAAGAAATCCACGTCCAAACTTTGGTAGTATCGACTCGGTCCGTGACAGTGGCAGTGACTGTCTACAGTCAATGAGTTTAACTTAGTGTCTATTTGACACATCTTTAATCACCTTTCAATGATCGGCCAATTGATCAATGATGACTAAAACATGTAACCGCCATAGGTTCATTAGCAACTCCCGAAATCTCTCCCGTCACGTTTATCGTGTCGGCCATTTTGACGTCTTGTGCTTGATGTAAATGTATTACGACGCCTTGTCATTGTAACTGACTTACTGAGGTAGTTCTTAACGTACCTTTCTCGTCTAATGGTCATATTATTTTAATACATGTGTTGCGTAAGATGTTTCTGAAGAGCAAGTTGTGCATCAATACGCTCATGGGACCCCTTTTTTAAGAACTATTTTATTCCCCGATATAGCTGGTTGTTGTATGGCTGTTAGTGTAAACATGAAGTCACGCGTACTAATTAAAAATTGTGTATAGATCTTGTCTTACATCCTTCGAGGTAAGAAATTGTGATAAAAAATTATTAGAATTGACTTTCACTTTGTGTGAACGTCAATTCTTAAATGTTCAAGCTTTAAAAATATATACCCCTATTTAAGAAATGAAGGCTCCCGCAATAGAATCCGACCTCTAAAATGTCGGACAAGTCCATTTTATGCACAGGTTGCTATTTACCTCATATTCTCACAATTCTCACATCGATTGCCTTTACCTTTTCTCCCAATACCGATTGTCATATCTCTCCAACGTTTGGATCATTCAACCACAGCGTTTATCTGCCTTGCCCAGTTGCATCTACGAAAACGACTCAGTAGACACTCCCCTCTCAAAAATAATGTTGTCCAATATACGATGTCATCAAGTTGAGAGCACATGTTCGAATCTCCAGAAATGACGTCATTATGTTACAATGTTTTATTGTGAAATATACCTGGTTTCACTTTTCATTGTTCTTTGCGATTTATCGCGTAGCTGTCATGTTGTCACTTTAGGGTTAACGCTTTGTGCTGTTTCTTCAGTGTTTATGTCATACCATCACAATCCTTCCTCTCTGTGTAACAGCAGGATGCGGCTTCTCGAGGCAGTCGGGTGTGTCCTGGCGCTGATTCTAGGTGAGTCGGCTTAATCAACGGTGTTGTTTAGCATCCCTTTAAGTCCTGGGATAAGTACTACTATTGTTGCTAATGGGGTTATAAAATCCAACCTGACAGTAGAGCCAAGGCCAGTCGGTACCTTTGACGGGATTCATTTTCAATATGGATACTGCTGTAGCATCTCTAGTTCGCGTGGCTTTCCTGCTTCCTTTTAGGCACCCACCAATAAATGAGCGTAAGTATTATTCAAAATTATTGCATTCGCAATAGTGCTTGTGGTACGTGATAGCGTGCAGTTCCAAGTACCTACACCTGCTGTCATCCAAGGAAACCTCTTTGAGGCAAAACCTTGGAACCATCAATTATATACGGTTTCCCATATTCGAGACAAGAGAGGTGCTGATCTTAGGGAAAAGTGTCGATAAGGATCGTGTCGGTATCCTAACGTTACATTCTCTTAAACGAGCCCCGTTGGCGTTCAGTAGTACCTCTATGTAATGATGTAAATCACCCTTAGAATGCTTTAGAAGGCTTTAGCCTTGAGGATGAAGCAATCATCCTTTGCAATATGTCGAGTTAATGATGCAATCATGTTTAGCAATGAATCGAGTTAATGAAGCAATCATGTTTAGCAATATGTCGAGTTGATGAAGCAATCATGTTTAGCAATGAATCGAGTTAATGAAGCATTTATGTTTAGCAATATGTCGAGTTGATGAAGCAATCATGTTTAGCAATATCTCGAGTTAATGAAGCAATCATGTTTAGCAATGAATCGAGTTAATGAAGCATTTATGTTTAGCAATATGTCGAGTTAATGAAGCAATCATGTTTAGCAATGAATCGAGTTAATGAAGCAATCATGTTTAGCAATATGTCGAGTTGATGAAGCAATCATGTTTAGCAATGAATCGAGTTAATGAAGCAATCATGTTTAGCAATATGTCGAGTTAATGAAGCAATCATGTTTAGCAATGAATTGAGTTAATGAAGCAATCATGTTTAGCAATATGTCGAGTTAATGAAGCAATCATGTTTAGCAATATGTCGAGTTAATGAAGCAAACATGTTTAGCAATATGTCGAGTTAATGAAGCAAACATGTTTAGCAATATGTCGAGTTAATGAAGTAACCTTGTTAAGCAAAATGTCGAGTTAATTAAGTAATCACCTTCATTATTTTATCGAATTAACGAAGGAATCATGTTTAGCAATATGTCGAGTTAACGACGTATTCACGTTCAGCAAAGTGTCGAGTTAATGAAGGTTCGAGTTGACATTATTTATCTGTTGATCTGGTGTTATAGTGAGTGATGCATACTTTGACTGTCGACGTCGGGGGATGTCCTGCAATACCGGAACATGTAACATCAACACGGGGAACTGCAACTGTCTCGACAACACCTCGGGGAAGGACTGCGGCCAAGGTAGACGAAGCCTTACATCCAGTCATACACCTGCATTGCAGACGCGGTAGTCAGCGACATCACACGTGCATCCTGACATCCATTCATACATCAGTATTACAGACACTGTTGTCAGCGACATCACACGTGCATCAGGGCATCAGTATTATAGACACTGTTGACAGCAACATCACACGTGTATGCTGACATCCATTCATACATCAGTATTACAGACACTGTTGGCAGTGACAAACGTGCCTCATGGCAGCCTACTGAGTACATACACCTGCAGACACTGTTGAAGGCGATATAGCACATGTATCCTGACAAGCTACTCTACACCTGCAGATACTGTTGACGGCGATATAGCACATGTATCCTGACAACCTACCATACACCTGCAGACACTGTTGAAGGCGATATAGCATATGCATCCAGACAAGCTATCTTACACCTGCAGACACTGTTGAAAGCGATATAGCATATGCATCCAGACAAGCTATCCTACACCTGCAGACACTGTTGAAGGCGATATAGCATATGCATCCAGACAAGCTATCCTACACCTGCAGACACTGTTGAAGGCGATATAGCATATGCATCCAGACAAGCTATCTTACACCTGCAGACACTGTTGAAGGCGATATAGCATATGCATCCAGACAAGCTATCCTACACCTGCAGACACTGTTGAAGGCGATATAGCATATGCATCCAGACAAGCTATCCTACACCTGCAGACACTGTTGAAGGCGATATAGCATAGGCATCCAGAGAAGCTATCCTACACCTGCAGACACTGTTGAAGGCGATATAGCATATGTATCCTGACATCCAGCCACACACCTGCATTGCAGACACTGTTGTCAGCTATAATACACGTGCATTCTGATATAAAGCTAAACACAGACATTGTTGACGCTGTTTTCTTCTATATTAAACAAGCAGCCAGCAAACATCAGCATTTTAGACACATATGTATGTTAGAAAATCCTTGGACAAAACAAATAGTTCCACTATGGTATTATTAAAAATCAAATTAGTTCTAGCAGAGGTTTGTTTTTAAAAGTTATCTAGGATTCGAACCATTATTTTGTCGCACAGTTCTTGGTACGACTACTACTGACTGCTGTGATTACATGTACAGGGCCTGAGACCACGGGGTGTGTTGGAGACTGCCAGAACGACGGCACGTGTACAGACATCTCGGGGTCGCCGAGCTGCTACTGCAATGAAACATTCACCGGTCCCCTGTGTGAGCTGCGGCGATGTGAGTATTAGAAAAGTCTTAATGCAAATATAACGATAGTCCCAAAAGTCTATACAACCTTTGACTACATATGGTTGGAATACTCTTGATAAAAAACTCCTTATTATTCTGGGGAAAATAAATTTTGTCAACAGATTTTACACAAACCGTTCTCTGGATATTTTGAAATATGTGTTGGGGGTCAAAAAGAAACTACTTGGCTTCTCATTCTCGACAAGAAATTGTATGTCTTATTCTGTCATACAGACCCAGAAACAAATATATCCAATACGGCCCAAGCAAGTCTATAGTGTTTGGCAAGTCCAGATTCGTGCAGTTTCTGAAAATGAAGAAAGTTTCTACACTCCTTTTTATTATATTTTATAACTATTTATCAACCTTTTTCTGTAAAATAAGCCCATTTTAGATATAAGTCTAGCGCAGACTGACAAACTACATGTATTTCGGTTTAAAACAAAAATGACAGCCCCTCCCTACACCACTAATCCGTCTCCCGTTACCCGACCTCCAAACACCACCCGATTATGTCACGCCAACATGTCTAAAGACAAGAACAATCTATTTTACCCGTATCTAAATGTACATGCAGTCAAGATATCCGTTCATTAATTAGACTTATTAATGTGTCCAGCCCAAGTGGAGTGCAGCGGAGAGAACATGACAATAACCATTCGACCCTACACTGGCTTCGTCGGTGCGGTGTACATTCGAAACCAAGCCAACACTGCTGACTGTGAATTCGAACAAAAGACGGACGCACAGTCCACATACTACGAACAGGTCTTTAACCTCCGAGAAGGGTGTTCTGCTATCGTGAAGAATGACACCCCAGGGGTAAGTACCATGTGTATCTGCAGAGGAAGTGCATTGCATCAAAATCCTTGAGATAAATGGAAAAAATGAAAGCGACAACATCCTTTCCATAATACCAGTAGCACTAAATTGTGCTTTGTTGCATAGAAGTAATCACATGATTCTGGTTTTCGAATTATTTGATATTAAAATTTAATCAACAGGTGGGTTAACGTTTAATTTTGTTCTCAACTTTATTGGAACCTAAAAGCCTTGAGTGATCTTGACTAAAACTCAGATCTGATGTTTAGCCGAATTAGATATAGATATATTTTAATACACTCTGTCGTCACTGCGAAGGATAAATTTCTGTAACCAAGATATACTGTGATGTCATGGACAATGAATAGCCCATGCTCAAAAGAAACATATGCTGCTTTTGCATTGAAAATAGAATATAAAAGACTCGATGTACAGGTTTGAATGTGAATGAGAAAACATTTCCTGTTCACCCTGACTAGTAGCGAAATACTGGTATTTGCAGGAGGACGACGTGACGTTTCAGAGGGAGGTGATTGTCCAGTACAACCCCAATCTGGAGACGCGGCTGGACCAGATCATCACAGTCTCATGTGAACATATCGCTGCCAACACATCAGATCTAGAGAGCACCATGCCAAGCGTCGACGTCGATCAAAGGTTTGACAAAGAGCGGCTGAGTTATGTGATGAAATAACCAATATGTGAATTCGAAATTGTGTGATGTCCTTCCATTTTTGCCTGTAACGTACATGAGAAGGCGTGAGTAGAACACAACTATGATTGTCACATCCGCATCGGAATCAAGAACAGTGATTCTTGATCAGTGAAATGATTTAACCAATTGAGTGAAACAAATTCGCTGAAATTGATGATGATCAAGAAACGAATAATCCTGACTGTTTATAGAAGCCGTTTTAACTCGAACTCGTTTAACTTGATATAGCGTTTATGATACAGTCCATGATATAGTGTATGATCCCTGCAGTTTCCTGAGACACAATAGAGTCAAATGTCGGCACTCCGCTTTGTACGAACTATGGGTAACTCGACGGGATTATTTGGAACGAACACGCTTATAACGATAACATACGGGTATCATAGTCGACATTACATGCATCATATCAATGAAAATGTCACAACGGGCAAAGGTTTTCAGACGAGTAGTGTTTGTACTGTTTTGGTCAAATCTAATTTTTTTGTATGCTTTCTTTTGCCGGCGGTTTATGATGGTTCTAGTCGATGTGTTTGACATGATTATTTTGGTGGAATTGAAATAATGGTTCTGGTGATGATGACGTTCGCAGGACCAACCTTACAAGAGACGAGACGAAGTCAGTGTACGAACCTGTGGAGTTCGAGATTCAGGAGAGAAGCGGAGGCAAGGTCAGCCCGCCCATCTTCATTGGCAGGGAGCTACGCCTGTTCTTCTCCCTCAAGGACACAGCTGGTAAGTATTATCACAGAACCCAGCATGATTTACCAAGGACAGATTCTTTGTGGGATACAGAGACAGATAGTCCCTTAGGTTAACAGAGCACAGGATCAGCTGTGACGGTTGTGGGGTTACTTTAGTTTTCTTGGGGTACAATTTAAGGTAGTGTCCTTAACTTTTTTTATTGCGTACATGGTTGTTGTAAAAAAGGGGAAATCTGATGTTGAAACAACTTCTAGTTGATTAATAGTATGTCCATGTATATCCAGTATAGAGGGTCACGCAGATAATACGAGATATAAGTATTCAAAAAGATGTCTCATGTTCAACTTCAAAGAGCCAGTTTAGTTACATTTGGAATGAACCATTTTATATCAACATGCTGTTTGTTTGTTTGTTCTTTATTTAACGCCGCAAACAACAATATTGCAGCTCTATGACAGCGGTCTGTAAATAATCGAGCCTGGACCAGACAATCCAGTGATTGACATCATGAGCATCGATCCACGCAATTGGGATACGATGACATGCATCAACCAAGTCAGCAAGCCTGACTACCCGATCCCGTTAGTCGCCTCTTACGCCTTATGGAAATTGCTCTGCAGATAACCTAGACTGATTGTGCTTTCGCGTTGACGTTTTACATTGAGATAATACTGACGTACCCGTGAAGATCCGGGGTAGAACCCATGCTTGCCCTAAAAGGTGGCTAACGGGATCGGGTGGTTGCTCACTGACTTGATCGATACAATGTTATGTCTTTGTATCCAAGTTGCGTAGATCGATGCTTATGGTGTCAAGTACTGTATTGTTTGTCAGACGCGATTATTTACAGACCTACGTCACATAGATGTAATATTGCGGTGTGAAAGACAAAACAAACAAACAAAACTTGTACTTTACCTCTACCCATGCGTACCGCTGTGCGAATTTAGGTAAGAAGAGAACCCAAGTGTTCACTGATGATTGCTTTTAAAGCCGACACAAATGGAGGTCGGGTGCCACAGTGTTGGTCTGTATGTCTGTACCTGGTTCAGACTCTAGTAGTTACAGACATCCATCATGTAGTGATACAAAAACTATTCGTAAAAATAAAATGTTCAGAATCTCCCCGTATCCGTAAGATGGTGACCATACTAGTTATTGTCTGCTAATGGTTGTTATATGTTATAAACTGTATGTTCTAACAAAGACGTGGTATTTTCTACACAGTGTTCAAGACGTTGAACGTGGAGAGTTGCATGGCTGTGAACGGGCGATCAGGATCCGACAGGAAAACCCAGAACCTGGTACAAAACAGGTAAACTGCCCATTACATGACGGAACTCCCGCCAGCCGATCTGATGAACATTGAACACAACATTACACAACCATGCAAAATATATATGAGGAGCTACGTACACATTCACTTCGGCACACATCAACCAAGTCAAAGAAACCTCATTAGTATGGACCCCATTAGTCCGGAAACCCCTACATTCCGGGCAAATGTAAACTGCTATATCTAACTTGCAAAGGGTTATGTGTAGGGGATATGTCAAAGCGGACAATCCGGACTGCTAGACATTGAATGATACAACCCGGGTCCACAGTATGTCGACAGTATGTCCACAGTATGCTGCACAGTATGTCCACAGTATGGTCCACAGTATGGTCCACAGTACGTCCACAGTATGGTCCACAGTATGGTCCACAGTATGGCCCACAACATGGTCCACAGTATATCCACAGTATGGTCTACAGTATGCTCCACAGTATGCTCCACAGCATGGTCCACAGTATGTCCACAGTATGCTCCACAGTATGCTCCACAGTATGCTCCACAGCATGGTCTACAGTATGTCCACAGTATGTCCACAGTATGGCCCACAGTATGGTCCACAGTATGGTCCACAGATTGTCCACAGTATGCTCCACAGATTGTCCACAGTATGCTCCACAGTATGCTCCACAGTATGTACACAGTATGCTCAACAGTATGGTCCACAGTCTGGTTCACAGTATGGTCCACAGTATGTCCACAGTATGGTCCACAGTGTGTCCACAGTATGGTCCACAGTATGTCCACAGTGTGTCCACAGTTTGTCAACAGTATGGTCCACAGTATGTCCACAGTTTGGTCTACAGTATTGTACGCAATATGCTCCACAGTATGCTCCACAGTATGCTCCACAGTATGTCCACAGTATGGTCCACAGTATCTCCACAGTATGTCCACAGTATGGTCCACAGTATGTCCACAGTTTGGTCAACAGTATGCCCCACAGTATGTCCACAGTATGGTCCACAGTATCTCCACAGTATGTCCACAGTATGTCCACAGTATGCTCCACAGTGTGCTCCACAGTATGCTCCACAGTATGTCCACAGTATGGTCCACAGTATGTCCACAGTATGGTCCACAGTATGTCCACAGTATGTCCACAGTGTGCTCCACAGTATGCTCCACAGTATGTCCACAGTATGGTCCACAGTATGCCCACAGTATGGTCCACAGTATGTCCGAAGTTTGGTCAACAGTATGGTACGCAGTATGGTCCAAAATATGCTCCACAGTATGCGCCACAGTATAGTCCACAGTACGGTCCACAGTATGGTTCACAGACTGCTCCACAGTATGCTCCACAGTATGTCCACGGTATGTTCAATATGAACATGTTTACATCGCAGTAGGACCTATATATACTCTTACAGAAATGTATGGGATCGCCGATTATTTGAAACAGACTACGTCAATGAACCGTTATGTGTGAGTCACGAGAATCATGCAAACACGTGCACTGTTGCACTGGGATGAAAAATGTGAGCATTTTGAAAAACATGCAGTTGAGGTTTGGCAAATTCAGGCAAGTTTGCAGCCTCAGAAGCAACCACACAAACGCATCCAAAACTGTTTGCCCCTCAGTACTGACTTCAGGTTCTCTACTGAGCGCTCACATTGTATGTGTTATAAGGGCAAGCAACCCTCTGTTTGTTTGTTTGTTTGTTTGTTTATTTGTTGTTAAACGCCGCACTCAGCAATATTACAACTATCTGGCGGCGGTCTGTAAATAATCGAGTCTAGACCACCCAATCCAGTGACTGACATCATGAGCATCGATCCACGCAATTGGGATACGATGACCTGCACCAACCTAGTCAGCGAGCCTGACCACCCGATCCCTTTAGTCGCCTCTTACGACAAGCATGGCCACCGCAGCTCTCTGAACGAAGTGTTATAAATGTTGGTTGTTCCTGCACTTCCTTGAATGAATAATACTATAGAAGCACTGATAGAAGTGTTACGATTATATTATACTATATGGCAGTCTTAGCACTATGAACGAAATGGGACCCATGTTTTCTGGTGATTACATACATTCGACTAGGCTATGGGGAATTTACGTATCATTGGGACAACTAGGTAAGTAAACACAACACTTGATAATTGACCGTAGATCAACATATTACCAAATAGGATGAACGATGGCGTGTCATGCATTGCTACAGAGTTTTTGTGCGTTCGTTTTAAAAAACAATATCATGCTTTTATGATATATATATAAAATTATAAACAGCTGTGTATATTAGCTATCGATATGTAACATCTTCAATATGTAACAAATTATCAGTATTTCCCCCGATCCATGTACCATGCTTGACATATTCGTGCTTTATATATGTGCTATTTATCCGTGCATGTGCTTTCCCATTACCTGAATAAACATATATCATTCAAAATTAGCTTCCAAATGAAATATCGCTTCGTTAAGATCAAGTGATCTCTCATATAGGAGATAGCACTGCAGAGTTGCGTCCCTTGGGCACGCCAGAAACCTATGATTGTGGGTTCGAATCCCGGTTCGCCCCGATTATGTTTCTAGGTTTGTCAGCACCATACTCGTGCTCGTGGGTTTCACCGAAGTGGTAAACGTCTGAAACATGCATCACTTCGGACTTTCCTCCCACATTAAGCTGACACGCCGTGATATAACTGTAATACTGATAAAAGTGGCGTTAAAACCAACTCACTCACTCACTCATATGACATACCACAGCAATGCTTTGCAGACCACCGTGACGTCATCGGTTACCATAGCATGAAAATCAAATATCTCAAAAATCCTTTGACTGGTGTGTGTTTATCAGGTTATGAATGTACTACAGCTGGTCGTATAGCGATCTCGCAATGGACAAGAGCTTCCAGTTGTGCTTTAACTCTGATTTCAGGATGTATCTTCAACTATACACATTGTTTGGCATTATCCTTGCTTCCATGGAGCGAAGACTTCTCTTCCTCATTGTCAACAGGTTACATCTTGTACAGTCAGGGGTGGAATGTAGAGTAGTGGCAATATTCCCTTAACGACTCATTTTGTATTATCCAATTACTGGCAAATATTTGCATGGAAGTAGTTGTTTGTCACGATATAGTCATAAGTGAGTAGTCACGTCGTTGTTAAGGTGTTTTGATTGCTCTATCACATGTTATTATCCTCCCTAACACGTGACCATTGTGAGTGGATGAATGTCCCGGGGACCTATTCTGTCCATTGGCCAACGGAACTGTGGTACTTACACGTTAACATAAATCTGGTATATTCTGTAGAGGATTTTATATGGCATAATATAGATTTTTTGCTACAGTCAATATGCGCAAATATGCATGCATCATCCGACTCGTTTTCAATTGTCTGGATGTTCGTCTTATTTATTTATTTGACTGTTGAATAAGCGCATCTATCTGGCTCCATCTTTGCTGCTGCTGATGCTGATGCTTTACCTTCAATGGTTCCAAACATATGCTGGGACCATTGCATGCTGAGCGTCATGTATACCTTGCTGAAATTAATTACTTAAAGAATGGTACAAAGCATCATCGCAAGCCTCAATATGGGTTCATGGAAACAGCTAAGCGTTAAGCCGGTCTTACAACTAATCGATGTTCTGTCGCCTGTAGGGGCGGTCGGGTAGCCCAGTGGTTAAAGCGTTCGCTCGTCACGCCGAAGACCCGGGTTTAAATCCCGACATGGGTACAATGTGTGAAGCCCATATCTGGTGTCCCCCGCCGTGATATTGCTGGAATATTGCTAAAAGCGGCGTAAAACCATACTCACTCACTCTGTCGCCTGTAGCAATGCATGACTTCAGCCGAACTCGCTAAGAAGCTTCACGTGATTGTCCACAAAGTACATTGTAAGTATATTTTCAAACAGTTGAAAAGGGCATTGGTTTCGTGCAGGATTCCACATATGTAATAAACATGTTTGACCATGTACTAATTTTTTATAAACTGCAATTGACTGTGGCAAAAGAAGAAAAAGACTAACATTTCATAACACTGGACGTTTTGTTGACAAGTGGTGTTTTGTTTTTCTACTGCACGAGATCCTTCCTTTGACGTGAATTTGTTTTGTCAAAAGCTTACAACTATACTGCATCCGTTATAAGCAGAAGCAAATCTTGTACCTTAATGTCTGCAGTGACAGCCATATTAGTTGATGCATTTCTCAGTCTCAGTCACCCTCGGTAACAAGGAAAAGAAAACCTCAGTCTAACATATGTATATATACTACTCAAAACATGTTAAGAACATACACAATTGGAAGGCCATGTGTGCCACAGCCAATACCCACCAGCCATGGCAGATTAACTATAGCCATATGGAAATATCGGGTGTCCATTTGAATAGTATATATGAGCTCTAATTTCGTATATTTTACCCATCATGCAAACCTAGCAAACCCAGGTAAACATTAAGGTGTGAGTGAGTGAGTATGGTTTTACGCCGCTGTTAGCAATATTCTAGCAATATCACGGCGGAGAACACCAGAAATTGGCTTCATTGTACCCATGTAGGGAATCGAACCCGAGTCTTCGGTGTGACGAGCGTACGCTTTAACCACTAGGCTACCCCACCGCCCTAAACAGTAGGGATTTAGAGGGGGCAATAACGAGCACGATTAACATAGTTCATGCATTTTCACTGAATGGACCACATATTACATATGAAGCTAGGCCATGATAAGATCACAGATTATAATACCTTTTCTCTTTACAGCTGCCCAACAATAGAATCCATTGATGTGTTACGAGGGCCTCTAGCACGTAACACTGACCAGAGCGCTGTTGTCATCAACTTCGATGCATTTAAGTTTGTGGACAGTAACGACCTGGAGTTTGAGTGTAAGGTTCGCACGTGTAAGGAGGGGGACACCAGGTGTGAAGCGGTGAGTTATTATAATAGTAGTAGTAATAATCATCATCATCATCATCATCATCATCATCATCATCATCATCATCATCATAATTATTATCATCATCATCATCATCATCATCATAATTATCATCATCATCATCATCATCATCATCATAATTATCATCATCATCATCATCATAATTATCATCATCATCATCATCATCATCATCATAATTATCATCATCATCATCATCATCATCATCATAATACCTGTGTTGAAGAGGCCCAGGATGATAAAAACATCTTTCCTCTTTGCTAACAGCTTAAAGTATTTTCTGTCCCTTTTGATACTAATGTGATTGACAAGATTCAGGAAAAACATGACAAACATGCGGACCTCGCTTTCTGTTCCCAATCTGTTGACTGAATACTGTTAAAAGCGGCGTTAAACCCCACTCACTCACTCACTCATTTGCAGGAAACTTGCTTTGGGACCGATACAGGATTCGGTAGGAGGAAGAGAGATACCGACGTCGGGAGGATGCAAGAGGAAGAAACGGTTGTGAGGAGCAGAATCACAGTGATAGATCCCCACTCATCGCAGATAATGACAGGTGAGTTCAAATCAGATGAAGATGACTTAGGCTCAGGTAATAATTGATTACGAAATGTAGATTATCTTTAAGTGGAGTATGAACTTTAGTCAACAGGATCAGAAAATGTTCAGAAAACTCATATTCTCAGAGACTTTTTAATCATGTATTCTGATTGTGCAACAGCGATATCGAATCATGATACATTCCCAAGAAAACAAATGCCAACACTTATTGTATTTAGAAAACGTTGCGGAACGTCGTGTTGTTGGTTATTCATAGGAAATGCACAAAAACGTTTCAGAAAGAAGGGCGTTTCTTCATCCTCCATCTTCCGACATCCGTTGTTAGAAGTTTTGTTATGTTTTCAGCACCAAACCTGTGCTCGTGAATTTCACAAAACCCGCATCACTTCAGATCTTCCTCCAGCACACAATTATATTATATTCATTAAGTAATGGAGGCTCATTGTAAATTATCGTGGAGTAGCCGAGTAGTGAGGGCCGGACCATCTGATATTATGTACTCTGGAGAGGGTATGGTGGTGGTGGTGTGTGAGGGGGAGATTATCGAAATAAAATATTGAAAAAGTCTTGAAAAAAGTAAATATACTTCAGACTATTGAAAACAAAATTGTCTGCTTGTCTGCCACAAAAAGTGCATTGTTTCAAGGTGTTTTCCTTTTTAATATAAAATGAGGCTCATAGTTTAAAATGACGTCATCGGCATGTATAAATGTTATATGACACTACATACGTAGTACTTTTTTCAGGTTCTGTGAGCGACTCTAAAGAATGCATTCAGAGGACGGATATCATCCTCACCATCGCCATGCTGGCTGCTGCCGTCTTCATCCTCTTCATCGTCACTTTCTGTCTGGCATTAAAAGCTCTCCGGTCACGTCGTGAAAAGTCCGTTGACAGTGACACCGACTCAACGACGTCGTCAGGCGGCACACGCCTTAGAATACCTCGGGTCAGATCGGTGTTCTAGACCTATTCAGTTCTGTAAGGCTTAAGCAGGAAATGTTTCTCGGGCATCGGCATGTTACTTAAAGGTGAGGTGAGGTGAAATGGGGTGAGGTGAGGTGAGGTGAGGTGAGGTGAGGTGAGGTTAAATGAGGTTTAACGTCGCGTCCAAGATTATTGCACTTATATAGCGACGTGCATGTACGTGTGTGTGTTTGTGTGGCTGCTTGTACTAGTCCGGACTGATGCAGATTTATAGTGCTAGCTCACTGAGATACCATGCCGCTGTTTAACATGAATACCCCACTCAGACACAGTATACTGACTCCGAGCCGACCAGTCCTTGTTTTAGCCCCTTAATGCCGAGCGCCAGACAGGGTAACAACAAGTACCATCTTTTAACGTCTTTTGGTGTTACGCGGTCGGGGACCGAACCCCGGACCTTCCGCTCTCCAGGCGGACGCTCTACCACTAGACCACGGAGGCGGTCTACGTTACTTAAAAGCATGTGTGTCAGTCATTTTTAGTGCCAATTCAAAAATAGTTTTCCCGCGTCATATGACGCTTACTATGTTATCCATAAAACAATACTTGACAACAGACATAATGTTTTATATGGCCGAGATCAATGTACGCCCAGTTGTGTTTGATGGTAATGATGCGGTAAATAAAAGCTCCTACCGCATCACCTTTGTTTTCACATCCTACCACCCTCTTCACTTTTGAGAAAAATGTACCGAGAAACATTTAATTTATATATGCAGCCTAATAAACGTAATCACATGTACCGATGCATGTCATGACAAAAGCAATCAGTTGTTTCAATGAAATACCAGTGCATCATCTCTTGCTACTGAAATCAAATATACAATTCCGTTTCACGTGTTCACTTCAAAACGGTTTCCAGCTTGGCATTGTCCAAGCATGTTAAGTATATAATTACAATAATCAACAATAATCAATTGCAAGAAACTGAATTTCAAGGCCAGTTTCTTTATACAAAATAAACAATGAATATTATAGCATGTTTGTGGACAGTTGCAATACGTACCTTCAAAGCAATTCGATCATAAGTAGTACGATTAATGTGGACATGACGAGGTATAATGCATGCTGACAATATTAAGTCTATTGGAATTATATACCCATATCAGATAATACTTCATAAGACATTCCTCTGTACATGTGTGTACAATGTGTTAAATTATGTAAATGCCAGTTTGTAAGCGCAACATACGACCGTTGAAAACAAGAAGACAATATATCATGTATGTTATTTGTTCAGAATATATGGTAAGTGTTCTATATTTGTTACTGTTGCTAAAATATTGTATATATTGATTGTATACTTTTTGTAATATCTGTATATTTTTAAATAAATAAAACAAAATAGAACTGTATTGTTATGTGTCAACTGTGGATTTCTGAGACGAACTGACCTGGTGGATGGTAGATGTTTCTAACGGGAAACATGTACTGTCGAAGTGCTGTCCCATATGTATACAGTGAATCTTGCTTCGGTCAACTGTGAATTGATCTTCACCATTACACTAGACACATTATCAATAAGGGTATTTCTTAAACATCTGTTTGATATTCGGGGTATGGGGGAGGGTGAACAAATGATTGTCGCAGAAAATGCTTGAAAACAATAATTATTCTCCAGACTGTTAAAACATAGAAATTGTCTCCGACAAAACTTACATTGTTTGCAAGATGGTTGCAAGAACTGTTTGACAGAGAACTATTTGTCAGGGAATTATTTGTCAGAGAACTGTTTGTCAGAGAACTGTTTGTCAGAGAACTGATTGTCAGAGAACTGTTTGTCAGAGAACCGTTCGTCAGAGAACTGATTGTCAGAGAACTATTTTTGACAAACTTTCCTTATTACAGACCACCAAGATATACCTGTAGAAGTAATATTACTTCACTAACTAACTAACTAACTAACTCACTAACTCACTAACTCTCTAACTCACTCACTCACTCCCTCACTCACTCACCTAAACGGGTCGGGTAACCAGGCTCAGTGACTCGGTTGCATGCGTGTCATCGTACAACGACGGCGTGGAACATTGCTCAGTCTGGTGAAGACTCGATTATTTAAAAGCCGCCGTCTTATAGCTGGAATAGTGCGACGATAAACAACAAACACTTGCCGAAATTCGGTGTCTTAAAATCCTTTTGGACCCTGCCTATATTATGACAATAATGATACACAGATTGTGTTGGGTTAACTCACGCGAAACTGCCTGATTACGTCGTGAACGTTAACATATACAATAGGTAGAAACTCAACAGTGAACACAAGCGACAAAACCCTTTCTATAATCATCAGAATTTTCTGATTATAAACATTGAGTCCATTGTACGACTACTGGAATATCATAAGCATGTGTTTATGAATCACTATCAAACAGTCATGACACCAGGTGTTCGCGAAGAGATGAGTGTGTCCTGCCCTACCAGTGACAACCGTCACAAGCACATACAAAGGTGAGTCAACTGTCCTCCTGAAAGTACACTGGAACATATTGTCAAAATAGGGTATTGCATCGGACATCATTTTGTCACCGATGCGCCACATTTGGAAACTGTCCTCCGCGTGTGTACTATGAAACCTTTGAACTGACTGAGGCCTTGAATGTTGTAGCCCTAATCAAATAACTTATGAGTAAGAATCTTTGAAATCTTCACATCAAGAGCATGTTCCATTGTACTTCAAAGTTGTTTAATATAGACACTAACGGATGGAGCTGCTGGAATATTGTTCGACATGTAGGGGCAGTCATCCCACTTGTGGATAGTATTTTGTTTATCTCTCCATATTGTTTTGCACAGATCTAAATATCAGACAGATGAGACGGTTCACTGGTGTGTTTTATTTCTCGTTCAAATGGGTAAATCAGTAGAAGGAAATTGGCTATTTGAACAACCATTAGTGAACGGTATTAGATCATCGATATACCTACAGCTTAAATTAAACTTCTTGGCCAAATCCTCTCGTTTTGATTTTGCCAATCCGAGCAGAAATTCCGGTTCATGTGCTTAGACTAGATCAGCAGGGAGCACAACTGGTGCCCATGGGGATGCCTACTTCTTGCCTAAATGTCCTGTCCCCAAATTTCAGTCCAGTATTTTTCTTTCCTTTTTGATGAAAGGTACTAAACCACTGACGTTGAGTGACAAATGCCCCATAAAACGAGGAATGATGTTTTTGTCGTTAAGTTTGTTGTCTGTGATTGTGGTGCACAAGTTTGAAAAATGAAACGTTTTGACACCGTTGAACGTGGTTCTTTTCTGAGTGTCCACACGAATTCCACTTGTCTCAAACATCTGTTAACATAAATAACGTTCTCGCTTTATTGTATTAAGAACCCAGCAATATATCTGTCTTTGTATGGAGCTCTGGAATCCGGTACAAAAGAGGAATGGACACGTCTTCGGCTCTTAGAGTCAAGTCCAAAGTTGATCATACGGATGCAGATTTGGGTTTGGGCAGATTCTTCCACATGTCTTCGAATTTTAGAGTCAGTCAAAAAGTAAAAAAGAATCCAAGATCCGCCTTGCGAAAGTCTGTCACTGTCGACGCGGCTGTAAAATCTTTCATGTATTTGTGCCAGAGTACTGTCTTTCGTGGTATCAATTTACCTGTTGTACAACACCAACAAAGGATGGAGATTTGTGCCAAATTAACTTTGAACAGTTTTATTATTCATTCTCATAATTTCATATGCAAAACAAATGTTCTCAATGAACCTGAAATATTCGGAATTCTGTTTGAGCGTTCTTCTCATGACGTCTTCACCTATAAACACTGCTTATGGTCAATCTCTTTCTCTGTGCTCAGAGCCCGTTCAACCACCAACATGCATTGATCGGTTTGCCAACCAAACAAACATAAGGTGCTCAGTCTTATGATCTGGTGCTCCTGAATATATTATGTTCTAAAACCCAAATACACCGTGTCTTGGAATCCTTATCACCTTTAGCCTCGGGGGTAGGCTGGACCTTTTGTTAAATCGTTTGCTCGAGAGACCGACATTTCACGGGCAACTAGATCTAAATATTCAGGCGTATCCAGGCCAACAAACCTGAACGTGTCCTTTTTGATAATACATACAGCCCCAGCTGCTTGCATGGAGCAAGAAGGTTGAACAGTCCGATTACTAGGTATTCATTCACTGCTGGGTGAAGAAAGGCATTTCTGACAAAGCCACTTGCCCAAAGAGACACCACACGTGAAGCAGGGCTGAAGCCCTAGAAACTCTGAGAAGGCATGCTGCCGAAAACGGTCTTCCATCAAATTACTCTTCGCCCACAACGTTGCTTGACTATAAAGTTGCATCTTCATAAAGGATGAAATTCAACAAGTTAATGGAGTTGGAGTAAAACGAGGTTTTATTTTAGAACGTGTGCACAGAACCCTTCTAACCTTAGTAAGAGTCACTCAAACTGAATATCAACAATTTTGTGGAATCGTCCATCTTTGATTCTTACACTGACGCCCTTGGGCAGAGCCATGACTTCCGTCTCAGCGTCCTCTGTGTCATCAGCATCAGCGTCAGCATCGTCATCAACGGTGAGGTCATCTCTGCTGGAGACTGTGCACAGCATCCGCTGACTCGCTGAGAAGGCAGATTTGATATCGCTGTCCATTCCAATGTCGAGGTCCACATATGGTCGACACATTCCTTGGACTGGCTCTTTTGGATAGTCATATTTGTGACGACGTCGCCCGACTCCCAACTCGGCGTACTCGTGAACTCTTTCTGTCGGCGCCACCTGCTTGCTGTCGACCTGGGGAGTCTTCTTATGGAGGCAACCACAACAACCACACCCTTGCCTGTGAGAGAATAATACATATATGATCTAACTGAAATAAAGTCAAATCATGATACTCAAATGGTCTAATTAAGATCATGTTCTTTTTTTTAACTTAATAATTTTGTAACTGATTAGGTTTCTTAACGAGACTGGTAATTCGCCTAGTGGTAGCCCAGTGGTTAAAGGTTTCGCTTATCGCATCGCAATCAAATTTCCAATTCTCCACATGGTACAATGTTTTAAGGACATTTATAGTTTCCTCAGTCGCAATATAGTTTGAATAATGCTAAAAGTAGCATAAACCCATACTATTTTGCTCTTATGTCAGACAAAGAGAAACAATAATCTGTTTTACCTTTTGAAAAACTGTTACTTTCCAGCCTCAAACTAATTATCAATCGTGGTAGAAAGGGTAGGCGAGTATTGTAGATCTGGTTGCAACATCAAGTGAATATTGCCTTGATGTCATCACTGTTATCATTTGTAAGTGTTGTTTTCTTTTAAATATTTCTTTCATCTCTCGAGAGGCGTAGGGGTAGCCTGGTGGTAAAAGCAATCGTTCATCTCGCCGAAAGCTCGGGTTCGATTCCCCACATGGGTACGCTGTGTGAAGCTCATGCCTGGTGTCATCCGCCGTGATGTTACTGGAATATTGCTAAAAGCGGCATAAAAGCATACTTACTCACTCTGAACAGACCTGGTTGTATGACTGTATGACAAGAGGGGTGACTTCAACTTTACATTCCCTTCATGTCGAGCAATATTCCAGCTCCAACCTTTGGTTTCACAGACGTTGTTCTGAGGTACAATCGAGCATGCTCATGCTATAAGATTTCAAAGATCGTCATACGACTCTTGCTCAGACGTTGTTTAATCAAGGTTACAAGAACCTCAAAAACAGTTTTATTGTAGCCATGTGGAGGACATTTCCAAATTTGAGGCATCAGTGACAAAGATTATGTCCAATGCAATTCTTTTTTTGTTGACTTGTATCATATTTTCCCTTGTTCTTTTCAGGCGAACAATTGACTTCGCAAGTGTTTGTGATAGGTGCCACCGGTGGGGTAGGTATATATATATATATATATATACATACATACATATAATTTGGTATGACCTACCTGCACAGCACAAATACAAATATGAGGAAAATTACGAACAACACCAGTAAAGCGATGCTGGTGCCGGCAATCACGTATGCATCTGAAAAATAGAAATGTTGTCTAGTGAGATGACATCACTGGCTCTGATATTACGATAAGAAATGGTTTGAACAATTCATTGACTTACACTTTGTACATATTTGTAAGTATAGTCTGGTCCATTTAAAGCCCATAGGAAAGTGATTTGGGTTGTCACAGTTATTCGAACATTCCAGACATACAGCGGCAGAGGCCTGTCCGAATTGGCTTGATTGCATCAATATGTGGTATGGAACTCAGAACCGGCGCGACAAACCAATACTTTAACTAATAGGCAACCCAATAAAACATTATGAACGCGAAACTGTTAAGTGCGAGGCTGACGGTTTTCCCTTTCCGTTTAACAATATTCTAGCAGCCCCAGCCTTTGGTACAGGGCATAGCTACATTCAACTCATCATAGCAACATTCAACACATAGCAACATTCAACATACAATAGCATTCAACACTTCATAGCAACATTCAACACATCATAGCAACATTCAACACACTAACAACATTCAACACACTAACACCATAGCAACTTTCAACACAACATAGCAACATTCAACACACAACAACACTCAACACACTGACAACATTCAATACACCATAGCAACTTTCAACACAACATAGCAACATTCAACACAGTACCAACACTCAACACACTAACAACATTCAATACACCATAGCAACATTCAACACATAAAACCATTCAACACATCATAGCAACATTCAGCACGTCATAACAACGTTCAACACATCAAAACCACATTCAACAAATAACGATATTCAACTCAGAGCAACAGTCAACACATCATAGCAACATTCAACACAACATAACACATTCAACACATAACAACATTCAACACCTCATATGACCATTCAACATCTCAAAAAAGCATTCAACACACCAAAACAACATTCAACACATAACGATATTCAACACACAACAACAGTCATCACACCATAACAGCAATCAAAACATAGCAACATTCAATACATCAGATAACCATTCCAGACATAACGATATTCATCACAGATCAACATTCAACACAGCATAGCAACATTCAACACATAACAACATTCAACACATCATAGCAACATTTAACACTCCATAGCAACATTCAACACATAATAACATTCAACACGTCATAGCAACTTTCAACACAGCATGGCAACATTAAACACATCATAACAACATACAAAGCGTCAAAACAACATTCAACACATCAAAACAGTATGCATTGTATCAAAACAGTTTTCAACACATTTCTCTCAGGGTCAGTCCACCATAGTTATTATTGATTTTTCACAATGATCTATGATAAATACTGCCTTATTTACTTTTCTTAGTTTCATATAAAACAGTTTCGTTGTCGGACAAATACGGTCATAACTGCAAGAACGATACACATCTGTTATTCCTCCTATATGATATTTATGATACGAAACCACGCGAGTGATAATGGTTATCTCTTTATAATACAAGGCAGTTAGTTTAATGATAGAAGTTTAAGACTTGGCGCTCATCCAAAGTACTTCCTACCGAGTGATCTCATGTCAGATTTACCAATGTAAGTATCATACATAGGTACAAAATATTCCACTAACCTGTAGGTGAAGGTGTAGAGGCAGCAGCAGTGGTGGTGCTTGACATGCTGCATGCAATATTAGAAGATTAGTACAAAACAGCTGGGCCCTTACAACCAACAGATTGGAAACCGCGAGAGGACATAATTCAGCTTGCCACTTTAAAAAATCACTGCACCCGGAAATTTCCCGTTTCACAACTTGGTTAGTTTCATACACCGGACTATATTAAACGGTGTATATATCAGTACAAGAGAAGGTGTGTGTGTGTGTGCGTGCGTTCGTGTGTGTGGGCGTGCGTGCGTTCGTGCGTTATATAGAGTGGGTCTATCGGCTATTGCCCGTCACGTGAGAAGTAGGGAGCATGGTCTATTGGGTAGAGTCTATTTTTTTAACGATGTACACTCGTACCTTACCGCGATTGGGGAGCGGGTTATAGCAAGACATTATGTAAATTAACTATTTCCCTGTTTCAAGTGTGCGGTCATGGAAAGTTTTATGTGTTTATGTGTTACAGGACAATGAAGACCAGTATGGCATGTTGCGTGCTGTAGTCGATGTGTGTAGGGAGCGGTGGTATGGTGTGGTGTAGGGAGCGGTGGTATGGTGTGGTGTAGGGAGCGGTGGTATGGTGTGGTGTAGGGAGCGGTGGGATGGTGTAGGGTTGGGGTTGCTGGTATGGTGTGGGGTAGGGAGCGGTGGGATGGTGGGGTGTAGGGAGCGGTGGGATGGTGTTGGGTAGGGAGCGGTGGGATGGTGTGGGGAAGGGAGCGGTGGTATGGTGTGGGGTAGGGAGAGGTGGGATGGTGTTGGGTAGGGAGCGGTGGGATGGTGTGGGGAAGGGAGCGGTGGTATGGTGTTGGGTAGGGAGAGGTGGGATGGTGTTGGGTAGGGAGCGGTGGGATGGTGTGGGGAAGGGAGCGGTGGTATGGTGTTGGGTAGGGAGAGGTGGGATGGTGTTGGGTAGGGAGCGGTGGGATGGTGTGGGGAAGGGAGCGGTGGGATGGTGTTGGGTAGGGAGCGGTGGTATGGTGTTGGGTAGGGAGCGGTGGTATGGTGTGGGGTAGGGAGCGGTGGTATGGTGTGGGGTAGGGAGCGGTGGTATGGTGTTAGGTAGGTAGCGGTGGTATGGTGTGGGGTAGGGAGCGGTGGGATGGTGTGGGGTAGGGAGCGGTGGTATGGTGTGGGGTAGGGAGCGGTGGTATGGTGTGGGGTAGGGAGCGGTGGTATGGTGTTGGGTAGGAAGCAGTGAGGTGGTGTGGGGTAGGGATTGCTGGTATGGTATGGGGTAGGGATTGCTGGTATGGTGTGGGGTAGGGAGCGGTGGGATGGTGGGGTGTAGGGAGCGGTGGGATGCTGTGGGGTAGGGGTTGGTGGTATGGTGTGGGGTAGGGAGTGGTGGTATGGTGTGGTGTAGGGAGCGGTGGGAAGACGTGGGGTTGGGGTTGGTGGTATGGTGTAGGGTAGGGAGTGGTGGGATGGTGAGGTGTAGGGAGTGGTTGTATGGTGTGGTGGAGGGAGCGGTGGTATGGTGTATTGTAAGGTGTGGTGGGATGGTGTGGGGTTGGGGTTGGTGGAATGGTTGGGGTAGGGAGCGGTGGTGTGGTGTGGGTTTGGCGGTGGTGGTATGGTTGGGGTAGGGAGCGGTGGGATGGTGTGGGGGTAAGGAGCGGTGGTATGGTGTGGTGTAGGGAGTGGTGGTATGGTGTGGTGTAGGGAGCGGTGGTATGGTGTGGTGTAGGGAGAGGTTGGATGGTGTGGTGTAGGGAGCGGTGGGATGGTTGGGGTAGGGAGTTGTGGGGTGGTGTGGGGTAGGGAGTGGTGGTATGGTGTGGTGTAGGGAGCGGTGGGATGGTGTGGTGTAGGGAGTGGTGGTATGGTGTGGTGTAGGGAGTGGTGGTATGGTGTGGTGTAGGGAGCGGTGGTATGGTGTGGTGTAGGGAGAGGTTGGATGGTGTGGTGTAGGGAGCGGTGGGATGGTTGGGGTAGGGAGTGGTGGTATGGTGTGGTGTAGGGAGCGGTGGTATGGTGTGGTGTGGGGAGTGGTTGTATGATGTGGTGTAGGGAGCAGTGGTATGGTGTGGTGTAGGGAGCGGTGGTATGGTGTGGGGTAGGGAGCGGTGGTATGGTGTGGGGTAGGGAGCGGTGGGATGGTGTGGGGTTGGGGTTGTTGGAATGGTTGGGGTAGGGAGCGGTGGTATGGTGTGGTGTTGGGAGCGGTGCTATGGTGTGGGGTAGGGAGCGGTGGTATGGTGTGGTGTAGGGAGAGGTGGGATGGTGTAGGGTTGGGGGTGGTGGGATGTTGTAGGGTTGGGGGTGGTGGTTTTGTGTCGGGTAGGGAGCGGTGGGATGGTGTGGGGTAGGGAGCGGTGGTGTGGTGTGGGTTTGGCGGTGGTGGTATGGTTGGGGTAGGGAGCGGTGGGATGGTGTGGGGGTAAGGAGCGGTGGTATGGTGTGGTGTAGGGAGTGGTGGTATGGTGTGGTGTAGGGAGCGGTGGTATGGTGTGGTGTAGGGAGAGGTTGGATGGTGTGGTGTAGGGAGCGGTGGGATGGTTGGGGTAGGGAGTTGTGGGGTGGTGTGGGGTAGGGAGTGGTGGTATGGTGTGGTGTAGGGAGCGGTGGGATGGTGTGGTGTAGGGAGTGGTGGTATGGTGTGGTGTAGGGAGTGGTGGTATGGTGTGGTGTAGGGAGCGGTGGTATGGTGTGGTGTAGGGAGAGGTTGGATGGTGTGGTGTAGGGAGCGGTGGGATGGTTGGGGTAGGGAGTGGTGGTATGGTGTGGTGTAGGGAGCGGTGGTATGGTGTGGTGTGGGGAGTGGTTGTATGATGTGGTGTAGGGAGCAGTGGTATGGTGTGGTGTAGGGAGCGGTGGTATGGTGTGGGGTAGGGAGCGGTGGTATGGTGTGGGGTAGGGAGCGGTGGGATGGTGTGGGGTTGGGGTTGTTGGAATGGTTGGGGTAGGGAGCGGTGGTATGGTGTGGTGTTGGGAGCGGTGCTATGGTGTGGGGTAGGGAGCGGTGGTATGGTGTGGTGTAGGGAGAGGTGGGATGGTGTAGGGTTGGGGGTGGTGGGATGTTGTAGGGTTGGGGGTGGTGGTTTTGTGTCGGGTAGGGAGCGGTGGGATGGTGTGGGGTAGGGAGCGGTGGTATGGTGTGGTGTAGGGAGTGGTGGTATGGTGTGGTGTAGGGAGCGCAGGGATGGTGTGGGGTTGGTGTTGGTGGTATGGATGGGGTCGGGAGCGGTGGAATGGTGTGGTGTAGGGAGTGGTGGTATGGTGTGGTGTAGGGAGCGCAGGGATGGTGTGGGGTTGGTGTTGGTGGTATGGATGGGGTCGGGAGCGGTGGAATGGTGTGGTGTAGGGAGCGGTGGTATGGTGTGGTGTAGGGAGCGGTGGTATGGTGTGGTGTCGGAAGCGGTGGTATGGTGTGGTGTGGGGAGTGGTTGTATGGTGTGGTGTAGGGAGCGGTGGTATGGTGTGGTGTAGGGAGTGGTGGTATGGTGTGGTGTAGGGAGCGCAGGGATGGTGTGGGGTTGGTGTTGGTGGTATGGATGGGGTCGGGAGCGGTGGAATGGTGTGGTGTAGGGAGCGGTGGTATGGTGTGGTGTAGGGAGCGGTGGTATGGTGTGGTGTCGGAAGCGGTGGTATGGTGTGGTGTGGGGAGTGGTTGTATGGTGTGGTGTAGGGAGCAGTGGTATGGTGTGGTGTAGGGAGCGGTGCTATGGTGTGGGGTAGGGAGCGGTGGTATGGTGTGGGGTAGGGAGAGGTGGGATGGTGTAGGGTTGGGGGTGGTGGTTTGGTGTGGGGTAGGGAGCGGTGGGATGGTGTGGGGTTGGGGTTGTTGGAATGGTTGGGGTAGGGAGCGGTGGTATGGTGTGGTGTTGGGAGCGGTGCTATGGTGTGGGGTAGGGAGCGGTGGTATGGTGTGGGGTAGGGAGAGGTGGGATGGTGTAGGGTTGGGGGTGGTGGTTTTGTGTCGGGTAGGGAGCGGTGGGATGGTGTGGGGTAGGGAGCGGTGGTATGGTGTGGTGTAGGGAGTGGTGGTATGGTGTGGTGTAGGGAGCGCAGGGATGGTGTGGGGTTGGTGTTGGTGGTATGGATGGGGTCGGGAGCGGTGGAATGGTGTGGTGTAGGGAGCGGTGGTATGGTGTGGTGTAGGGAGCGCAGGGATGGTGTGGGGTTGGTGTTGGTGGTATGGATGGGGTCGGGAGCGGTGGAATGGTCCGGTGTAGGGAGCGGTGGGATACCCCAACCATACCACCAACCCCAACCCTACACCATCCCACCGCTCCTTACAATACACCATACCACCGCTCCCTACACCACACTATACAACCACTCCCTACACCACACCATACCACCACTCCCTACCCTACGCCATACCACCAACCCCAACCCCACACCACCCCACCGCTCCCTACCCCACACCATACTACCACCCCCAACCCAACACCATCCCACCGCACCATACACCAAACCATACCACCGCTCCCTACCCCACACCATACCACCGCTCCCTACCCAACACCATACCACCGCTCCCTACAACACACCATACCACCGCTCCCTACCCAAAACCATACCACCACCCCCAGCCCCACACCATCCCACCGCTCCCTACACCAAACCATACCACCGCTTCCTACCCCACACCATACCACCGCTCCCTACCCAACACCATACCACCACCCCAAAGGAGCGCAGGGATGGTGTGGGGTTGGTGTTGGTGGTATGGATGGGGTCGGGAGCGGTGGAATGGTGTGGTGTAGGGAGCGGTGGTATGGTGTGGTGTAGGGAGCGCAGGGATGGTGTGGGGTTGGTGTTGGTGGTATGGATGGGGTCGGGAGCGGTGGAATGGTGTGGTGTAGGGAGTGGTGGTATGGTGTGGTGTAGGGAGCGGTGGTATGGTGTGGTGTAGGGAGCGCAGGGATGGTGTGGGGTTGGTGTTGGTGGTATGGATGGGGTCGGGAGCGGTGGAATGGTGTGGTGTAGGGAGTGGTGGTATGGTGTGGTGTAGGGAGTGGTGGTATGGTGTGGTGTAGGGAGCGCAGGGATGGTGTGGGGTTGGTGTTGGTGGTATGGATGGGGTCGGGAGCGGTGGAATGGTCCGGTGTAGGGAGCGGTGGGATACCCCAACCATACCACCAACCCCAACCCTACACCATCCCACCGCTCCTTACAATACACCATACCACCGCTCCCTACACCACACTATACAACCACTCCCTACACCACACCATACCACCACTCCCTACCCTACGCCATACCACCAACCCCAACCCCACACCACCCCACCGCTCCCTTCCCCACACCATACTACCACCCCCAACCCAACACCATCCCACCGCACCATACACCAAACCATACCACCGCTCCCTACCCCACACCATACCACCACCCCAAGGGAGCGCAGGGATGGTGTGGGGTTGGTGTTGGTGGTATGGATGGGGTCGCTCCCTACCCCACACCATACCACCGCTCCCTACCCAACACCATACCACCACCCCAAACCCCACACCATCCCACCGCTCCCTACCCCACACCATACCACCACTCCCTACATCACACCATACCACCGCTCCCTACCCCACACCATACCACCGCTCCCTAACCCCACTCCATGCCACCGTTCCCTACCCTACACCATACCACAACCCTACCCAAAACCATACCACCACCCCCAGCCCCACACCATCCCACCGCTCCCTACACCAAACCATACCACCGCTTCCTACCCCACACCATACCACCGCTCCCTACCCAACACCATACCACCACCCCAAAGGAGCGCAGGGATGGTGTGGGGTTGGTGTTGGTGGTATGGATGGGGTCGGGAGCGGTGGAATGGTGTGGTGTAGGGAGCGGTGGTATGGTGTGGTGTAGGGAGCGCAGGGATGGTGTGGGGTTGGTGTTGGTGGTATGGATGGGGTCGGGAGCGGTGGAATGGTGTGGTGTAGGGAGTGGTGGTATGGTGTGGTGTAGGGAGCGCAGGGATGGTGTGGGGTTGGTGTTGGTGGTATGGATGGGGTCGGGAGCGGTGGAATGGTCCGGTGTAGGGAGCGGTGGGATACCCCAACCATACCACCAACCCCAACCCTACACCATCCCACCGCTCCTTACAATACACCATACCACCGCTCCCTACACCACACTATACAACCACTCCCTACACCACACCATACCACCACTCCCTACCCTACGCCATACCACCAACCCCAACCCCACACCACCCCACCGCTCCCTTCCCCACACCATACTACCACCCCCAACCCAACACCATCCCACCGCACCATACACCAAACCATACCACCGCTCCCTACCCCACACCATACCACCACCCCAAGGGAGCGCAGGGATGGTGTGGGGTTGGTGTTGGTGGTATGGATGGGGTCGCTCCCTACCCCACACCATACCACCGCTCCCTACCCAACACCATACCACCACCCCAAACCCCACACCATCCCACCGCTCCCTACCCCACACCATACCACCACTCCCTACATCACACCATACCACCGCTCCCTACCCCACACCATACCACCGCTCCCTAACCCCACTCCATGCCACCGTTCCCTACCCTACACCATACCACAACCCTAACCCCACACCATCCCACCGCTCCCTACACCACACCATACCACCACTCCCTCACCACACCATACCACCATTCCTACACCACACCATACCACCGCTCCCTACACCACACCATACCACCACTCCCTACCCCACACCACCCCACCACTCCCTACCCCACACCACCTCACCGCTCCTTACCCCACACCATCTCACCATACCCTACACCCCACCATACCACCGCTCCCTACACCACACCATACCACCGCTCCCTACCCAACACCAAACCACCACCCCCAACCCCACACCATACCACCCGCTCCTTACCCCACAGGGAGCGGTGGTATGATGTGGGGCAGGGAATGTTGAGGTGGTGCTGGGTAGGGACAGGGTGGGTGGTGTGGGGTATCGAGTGGTGGTATGGTGTGGGGTAGGGAGCGGTGGTATGATGTTGGTCAGGGAGTGTTGAGGTGGTGCTGGGTAGGTATAGTTTAGGTGGTGTGGGGTATCGAGTGGTGGTATGGTGTGGGGTAGGGAGCGGTGGTATGATGTTGGTCAGGGAGTGTTGAGGTGGTGCTGGGTAGGTATAGGTTAGGTGGTGTGGGGTATCGAGTGGTGATATGGTGTGGGGTAGGGAGCGGTGGTATGGTGTGGGGTAGGGAGCGGTGGTATGATGTGGGGCAGGGAATGTTGAGGTGGTGCTGGGTAGTGACAGGTTGGGTGGTGTGGGGTATCGAGTGGTTGTATGGTGCTGGGTAGGGAGCGGTGGTATGGTGTGGGGCAGGGAGTGTTGAGGTGGTGCTAGGTAGGGACAGGTTGGGTGGTGTGAGGTATCGAGCGGTGGTATGGTGTGGGGTAGGGAGCGGTGGTATGATGTGGGGCAGGGAATGTTGAGGTGGTGCTGGGTAGGGACAGGTTGGGTGGTGTTGGGTATCGAGTGGTTGTATGGTGTGGGGTAGGGAGCGGTGGTATGGTGTGGGGAAGGGAATGTTGAGGTGGTGCTGGGTAGGGATAGGTAAGGTGGTGTGGGGTATCGAGTGGTTGTATGGTGTGGGGTAGGGAGCGGTGGTATGGTGTGGGGAAGGGAATGTTGAGGTGGTGCTGGGTAGGGATAGGTAAGGTGGTGTGGGGTATCGAGTGGTTGTATGGTGTGGGGTAGGGAGCGGTGGTATGGTGTGAGGTATGGAGTTGAGGTGGTGCTGGGTAGGGAGCGGTGAGGTTGTGTCGGGTAGGGAGCGATGGGATGGATTGGGGTAGCGGTGGGATGGGGCGGGGTAGGCAGTTGTGTGGTGGTGTGGGGTAAGGAGCGGTGGGCTGGAGTAGGGTAGGGAGTGGTGTGGGTAAGGGAGGGGTGTGGCGTAGGGAACACAGAAGGAACACAGAATAAGGAACAGACTATCCCCTGGGGGATACATGTGTTTTGGTAACAGGAATGGAGTCTTTCAACCATCACTTGAACTCAGACTACTTCAACACTCCATAGCAACATTTAACACTCCATAGCAACATTCAACACATAATAACATTCAACACGTCATTGCAACTTTCAACACTGCATGGCAACATTCAACACATCATAACAACATATAAAGCGTCAAAACAACATTCAACACATCAAAACAGTATTCATTGTATCAAAACAGTTTTCAACACATTTCTCTCAGGGTCAGTCCATCATAGTTATTATTGATTTTTCACAATGATTTATGATTAATACTGCCTTATTTACTTTTCTTAGTTTCATATAAAACAGTTTTGTTGTCGGACAAATACGGTCATAACTGCAAGAACGATACACATCTGTTATTCCTCCTATATGATATCTATGATACGAAACCACGCGAGCGAAAATGGTTATCTCTTTATAATACAAGGCAGTTGGTAACAGGAAAGGAGTCTTTCAACCATCACTTGAACTTAGACTACTGGAGCAAGGCCGCTTTCCACAAAGCAAGTTTAACACTACGACTGTATACGCGTGGCTACGATTATCGGAAGTCTATGTTAAAGTATAGGAGTTACGACGCCTTACCGCTACGGCTGCCGTAATTATATGTTGAATTAGTCTTTGTCAGTGTTGCACAGGAGGGAGGACAAAACCCATGCCAGGTTTTATGCCAGGTACAAAGAAATCTCCACTGAGAAGTTCGCTCTTCGGTACCTGTGCTTCGTCGCCTGGTTTGTGAAATGAGGATGTTAACAGGAATAGTGTCCTTACTTTTTGTGTTCCAGGTCGGACAATAAAAAATATGTGTCACTACCCTATCAATCAAACACATACGGTGTAGATATAAATATATAAATCAACTTTAATTTTAAGAAAATGATTTTATTTCGACAAAAGCTATGGAATGTAAAATAAAACCTTAGGTTATAAAACATGTGTTAATATCAGATCTGAAGAATCCTTGAAAAAAAGAAAGAAAAATAAACAAACGTATATATCTACAATGATATGATTATATTCCCACTGTGACTCTAACTCCAGGCCAAGCATACTTGAGTAGAAAAAGTATCATGTTGTATTCAAGTTGGAAGAAAGTTTAAAGCGTTGTGCAGTAAAATAACCTCGTTCAGCGACATGATTTACGTTCATTTTAAAGACCCGTGAAGATCCGGGGTAGAAAATTCCGTGTCGTGATATGGCTCTAAAACATTGCTTAAGTCAGTGAGTCAACGTTACCTGTCGTGATATGGCTCTAAAACATTGCTAAAGTCAGTGAGTCAACGTTTCTTGTCGTGATATGGCTCTATAACATTGCTAAAGTGAGTGAATCAACGTTTCTTGTCGTGATATGGCTCTAAAACATTGCTAAAGTGAGTGAATCAACGTTACCTGTCGTGATATGGCTCTAAAACATTGCTAAAGTCAGTGAATCAACGTTTCCTGTCGTGATAAGGCTCTAAAACATTGCTAAAGTGAGTGAGTCAACGTTCCCTGTCGTGATAAGGCTCTAAAACATTGCTAAAGTTAGTGAGTCAACGTTTCTTGTCGTGATACGGCTCTAAAATATTGCTTAAGTGAGTGAGTCAATATTCCGTGTCGTGATATGGCTCTAAAACATTGCTAAAGTAAGTGAGTCAACGTTTCTTGTCGTGATATGGCTCTAAAACATTGCTAAAGTCAGTGAGTCGACGTTCCCCGTCGTGATACGGCTCTAAAATATGGCTAAAGTCAGTGAGTCAATATTCCGTGTCGTGATATAGCTCTAAAATATTGCTAAAGTGAGTGAATCAACGTTTCTTGTCGTGATATGGCTCTAAAACATTGCTAGAGTGAGTGAATCAACGTTTCTTATCGTGATAAGGCTCTAAAACATTGCTAAAGTGAGTGAATCAACGTTACCTGTCGTGATATGGCTCTAAAACATTGCTAAAGTGGGTGAGTCAACGTTCCCTGTCGTGATATGGCTCTAAAACATTGCTAAAGTTAGTGAGTCAACGTTTCTTGTCGTGATACGGCTCTAAAATATTGCTTAAGTGAGTGAGTCAATATTCCGTGTCGTGATATAGCTCTAAAACATTGCTAAAGTAAGTGAGTCAACGTTTCTTGTCGTGATATGGCTCTATAACATTGCTAAAGTCAGTGAGTCGACGTTCCCCGTCGTGATACGGCTCTAAAATATGGCTAAAGTCAGTGAGTCAATATTCCGTGTCGTGATATAGCTCTAAAACATTGCTAAAGTGAGTGAATCAACGTTTCTTGTCATGATATGGCTCTAAAACATTGCTAAAGTGAGTGAATCAACGTTTCTTATCGTGATACGGCCCTTAAACATTGCTAAAGTCAGTGAGTCAATATTCCGTGTCGTGATATGGCTCTAAAACATTGCTAAAGTTAGTGAGTCGACGTTCCCTGTCGTGTTACGGCTCTAAAATATTGCTAAAGTGAGTGAGTCAATATTCCATGTCGTGATATGGCTCTAAAACATTGCTAAAGTCAGTGAGTCAATATTCCGTGTCGTGATATGGCTCTAAAACATTGCTAAAATCAGTGAGTCAATATTCCGTGTCGTGATATAGCTCTATAACATTGCTAAAGTCAGTGAGTCGACGTTCCCCGTCGTGATACGGCTCTAAAATATTGCTTAAGTGAGTGAGTCAATATTCCGTGTCGTGATATGGCCCTAAAACATTGCTAAAATCAGTGAGTCAATATTCCGTGTCGTGATATGGCTCTTTAACATTGCTAAAGTCAGTGAGTCGACGTTCCCCGTCGTGATACGGCTCTAAAATATTGCTAAAGTCAGTGAGTCAATATTCCATGTCGTGATATGGCTCTAGAACATTGCTAATGTGAGTGAGTCAACGTTTCCTGTCGTGATATGGCTCTAAAACATTGCTAATGTGAATGAGTCAATGTTCCCTGTCGTGATATAGCTCTAAAACATTGCTAAAGTCAGTGAGTCAACGTTCCCTGTCGTGATATACCCCTAAAACATTGCTAATGTGAGTGAGTCAACGTTTCCTGTCGTGATATGGCTCTAGAACATTGCTAATGTGAGTGAGTCAACGTTCCCTGTCGTGATATGGCTCTAAAACATTGCTAAAGTCAGTGAGTCGACGTTCCCCGTCGAGAAACGTATTTCTAGATTTTTAACTTTTGTAAAAAATGTAAATCCCATTCGATCCCATGACTCTGGATATGTGAAACAACACACCCATATAATGTGTCTGTTACATTGAACGATATAGTGGCATAACACGAAGCACAAATAAAGCTGAATAATAAAACCCTCGTCCGTTAAAGCCTTCATCTCTTACCGGACAAGTAGTGTGTTCAATTGCGAAGCCTATAAACATAATTAAATTCCCCTCCCTACAAGGCCTGGCTTCATCAATGGATTCTGGAGAACATGTCGAAAATGTGAAAAATTCATTGTCCACGGCGACATCTTCGCACAAGAACTTCGGTATTCCACATGGTTCCAGATCAACGGTCACAGGAAGCGAATATTAACAATCTTCTGGTTTTTACCATCTTTGATTTCTATAGAAACGTTGCTGTTGGGAGAACTAACATTTGCCATGTCTGTTTCGATATCCGCGTCCAGATTGTCCTTTGTGTACTGACTACACCCGCTAGATGGAGCGGCCACTAGATAGCCATCCGCTCCAAGGGCGGGGCAGGGAAGTGGCAGATCTACTAGATCGTAATGATCTCCGCTCGTCAACTCCATATATTCATGTACACTGCCTCTTGTCGTCGGCTGCTCATCCTTAATGCCCTTCTTTCGTCTCTGTCGACGAGTGCAACACGTACATCCGTGGCTGCAAGAGAAGGACGGCATTGTGTGCTCAGGTTTGGTTTGGTTGTTGTTTTACGCCGCACTCAGCAATAGTCCAGCTATATGACGGCTGTCTGTAAATAATCGAGTAAGATCCGGGTTAGGATAGGTCTTCAGCAACCTATGCTTGTCGTAAGAGGCGCCTAACGGGATCGGGTGGTCAGGCTCGTTGACTTGGTTGATGCATGTTATCGTATCCCAATTGCGTGGATCAATGCTCATGATGTCAATCACTGGATTGTGTGGTCCAGATTCGATTATTTACAGACCGCCGTCAGATAGCTGGAATATTGCGGCGTTAAACAACAAACAAACAAGGAAGCTATTATATAACTTAAATACTGTTCAAAGGTGCGTTTTTCTTAAATTCACTCACTCACTCACTCACTCACCCTTACCTGCAGAGAGCAATAAGAGACATCAGAAGTATCAGCAACATCACAACGACGCCGATACTGCATCCAACAACTACGGCGACATTTGTTGCTGAAACAGAAAAACGTTGTGGGACGTCATCTAACGTCCTCTTACATTGGCATATACCAATGCTGTAGACGAACGAAAGGTAAACTGCCAGGCAAAAGAAAGTATACACTTGAAAATTGGATTCAACCAAAAAATTACAAACATAATCAAAACTTAATAATAGTTGCCGAACTACTGCAAACATAAGGTCCAAAATACAACTATGATACCCGTATCAAATACATCATCGTCGAATAACTACAGTAAACTACGGTTATAACGAACTCAAAGGGACCACTAATTTTAGTTCGTTATAACCGTAGTTCGTTATAAGCATATTACAGCATAACTACAGCAAATAGTCGGGACAAAAAAGTAAGTTCGTTATATCCGTCAGTTCGTAATAAGCGTGTTCGTTATAAACGTAGTTTACTGTATTTCTCTTTGTTTCACTTTAGCCACAATCAAACATGGGTGTTTACTTTCTTTTGCCCGGCAGTAAATATTTAATACAAAATTATTATATGAACCATATAGGTTAAACCACTAACTAACTCAAAGTCTTCTAGTATAACTGTGTAGTTCTAAATGAACTAAATAGAGCAATCGTACATTCTTGCTCTCGTGTACTTAAACTTCGGTTTTTCATCTCTTTCTTGAGAAGTATCCCAGTCTTAGTACAGGGTTATTTTCTACGGACTGCAGATGTATTAGAGACGATCATATCATAGATACCACTTCCCTACACGTTTTCTTATGTATAAGTATATATAGTATATATATATATATAGGGGGGGGGGGGGGGGGGGGGGGGGGGGGCACGTGTGGTCAGTCGTCTATGGCGCCACATTTCGTTACTCCGACGTGACTCTTAAGCGTCCCAGAAACTATGATCATGTGTTTGTCAGTAACACCCGTACACGACCGTTTTACCAAAATGGTAAGCATTTACGACCTGCATGACTTCGAGCTCTCCTCCCACGTCGATATAGACATTACCCACGCTCCTCTCACTGATATATGGACACGCATACCCTGCCTTTATCACGGTAAATCACCATTGTAAGGTGATCTCTGGCATTAACTGACGCTTCTTTGGACATTGGGTGGTCCGGTTGTCTCAAGCACAGCAATTCAAACTCGTGAGTGGTATGAGGCTGCAATACAAGTCAAAAGAAAACTCAAGTACGATAAGTGCCTTCGTTCAATAAACCCCATCAATATGCACTAAGCCCGCGGTGAGGTGATGTGAAATGGAGTTTAACGACGCATCTATGTTTACTGCACTTATATAGCGATGTGTATGCACGTGTGCGTACCACTAGGTTGCGCATACGAAGCTTCCATCCAATGAACTATAAAGAAGGCATTTGTCGTTTGATCTTACATCTCGCACACCTCCTTGAAGAGAATGTGTTCAAATGCAAAAAAACCAGCGAGGGAAATGCGACAGAATAACCTTGGGACTGAGGCTCTATCTGAAGAATGTCCCTGGAACAGAGGCTCTTTCTGTAGAATGTCCCTGGGACAGAGGCTCTTTCTGTAGAATGTCCCTGGGACAGAGGCTCTTTCTGTAGAATGTCCCTGGGACAGAGGCTCTTTCTGTAGAATGTCCCTGGGACAGAGGCTCTTTCTGTAGAATGTCCCTGGAACGGAACAGTGGCTCTTTCTGTAGAATGTCCCTGGGACAGAGGCTCTTTCTGTAGAATGTCCCTGGGACAGAGGCTCTTTCTGTAGAATGTCCCTGGGACAGAGGCTCTTTCTGTAGAATGTCCCTGGAACGGAACAGTGGCTCTTTCTGTAGAATGTCCCTGGGACAGAGGCTCTTTCTGTAGAATGCCCCTGGGACAGAGGCTCTTTCTGTAGAATGTCCCTGGGACAGAGGCTCTTTCTGTAGAATGTCCCTGGAACAGAGGCTCTTTCTGTAGAATGTCCCTGGGACAGAGGCTCTTTCTGTAGAATGTCCCTGGGACAGAGGCTCTTTCTGTAGAATATCCCTGGGACAGAGGCTCTTTCTGTAGAATGTCCCTGGGACAGAGGCTCTTTCTGTAGAATGTCCCTGGAACGGAACAGTGGCTCTTTCTGTAGAATGTCCCTGGGACACAGGCTCTTACTGTAGAATGTCCCTGGGAAAGAGGCTTTCTGTAGAATATCCCTGGGGGAGAGGCTCCTTCAGTAGAATGTCCCTGGGACAGAAGCTCTTTCTGTAGAATGCCCCTGGGACAGAGGCTCCTTCAGTAGAATATCCCTGGGACAGACGCTCTTTCTGTAGAATGTCCCTGGGACAGAGGCTCTTTCTGTAGAATGTCCCTGGGACAGGGGGATATTAAGGAGAAAGTCCCTCTTGACAGATTATTCTCCAAAACGAATCCCAGTAAAACAATAGGATGACATCACTTCCGGTTAAAATTTCAAATATATAACCTCTCAGCAGGTCTCACTTGAAATAGAACCTCTCACAGGGCCACTATGAGACAGCAAGGCTTCGGCAACAAAGGCAGAAGATTTAAAAGTATTTAAAGGTGCACCTACCTGGCGCTGTAATATGTGTCGTATTGTTAGAAGTCATAACATTGGAATCAGAAAGGGTATGCGTCACTTCCATAGCTGCTGGGTCGTTTACACAAATGGAAATCATGCATCAGACATTCACGTTGATGTTATACACACGGAAGTATTGATAGCTGGGGTATTGTACTGACGCAGGTTACTTGAAATGCCGCCCAACAACAAGTTTCATCCTTTATTTCCGTCCGCGTAGTGAGTCGACAGAACGAAAGCATGAGACACGTAAATGTTTACATATACCAAAGAGATATAAATAATTATTCATTATGCACTAAGATGACGTTCTTTGGTTCACACACTATAAGCTCCTGCACCGTAATCTTACTGAAATACTTTCTTTCAAAAATTGCCTTAAGCCGAGCCCATTCACTCACTGTTTGTTTGTTTGTTGTTTTACGGCGCACTCAGCAATATTCCGGCTATGTGACAGCGGTTTGTAAATAATCGAGTCTGGACCAGACAATCCAGTGATTGACATCATGGGCATCGATCCACGCAACTGGGATACGATGATATGCATCAACCAAGTCAGCGAGCCTGACCACCCCATCCTGTTAGTCGCCTCTTACAAGAAGCATGGGTTGCTGAAGACCTATTCTAACCCGGATCTTCAAGGGTAAGCAATTTAAGATTGTGTCAAATTCTGTAGGCGAAGCGTCGCTTACAAGATTTTGCACCTAAGAAGCGACGTGTGTGTGTGTGTGTGGTGTGTGTGTGTGTGTGTGTGTGTGTGTGTGTGTGTGTGTGCGTGCGTGCGTGCGTGCGTGCGTGCGTGCGTGCGTGCGTGCGTGCGTGCATGAGTGTGCTTGTACTAGTCCGGACTCCTTTGCTCACCGAGATACCACGCAGCAGTTTTAAAATGAATACCCCACTCAGACAATATACTAACTGCAAGACCAATCCTTGTCGTATCCCCTTAATGCCGAGTGCCAGGCAGGGGAACAACAAGTACAATCTGTCAACGTCTTTTGGTATGCCGAGGTCGGGGATCGACCCCCGGACCTTTCGCTCTCCGGGCAGATGATCTGTATACGATAGTCTACTCATATTTTCACGAGCGTACAAAATACATTGCATCATATTCCTTCATGTAATATTAATAAAACAATATCACTTGCATTGAAAAATAAATTAGAATAAATTGAAAACATAATTTTAGTATAACACTCATAACCATGCATAAGCCGTGGAGTGACTCAGTTTGATAAAACGTTGCAGAAAGGTCAACGGCATACACTGGTTACAAGAACGACCGTCACACATGTCTCTTCCCACACAAAGATAAAATCCTTATAGCATTAGACATGTGCTGATTAATCACCAAGACATACACGGCGCACACTTCATGGGAAGGACTTGAAATAATCATACCAATTGCCCGCTTATAGTGGTGAGTGGGTAGTTGGGTTTAACGCCGCTTTTAACATTATTCCAGTTATATCACGGCGCGTCAGCTTAATGTGAGAGGAAAGCCCCAAGTGATGCAGGTCTCGGTGAAACCACTTCGGTGAAACCCACGAGCTCGGGTATAGTGCTGACAAACCTTGAAACATAATCGGGGCGAACCGGGATTCGAACCCATAATCTTGGTTTCTGGCGTGCCCAAGGGACGCAACTCTGCCGCTTATAGTGGGTGTATCTCAACATGGACACAGTTCTTGATTTAATATGACCAAGTCATTGTACATTCACAAAGCACTCTCACTTCGCTGGTGGGATTTTAACAATAGAGTCCACGTGTTTTAGTCCAACATTTTGCAAACGGCAAAATCAACACTAATCAACATTATTTTGCTAAGGACACACCTTTAGGTACAGTTGACGCGACCGCCTCCGTGGTCAAGTGGTAGAGCGTCGGCCCGGAGAGCGGAAGGTCCAGGGTTCGAACCGCGGCCGCTTCATACCAAAAGACGTTAAAATATGGTACTTGTTGTTACCCTGCCTTTCGCTAGGCATTAAGGGGCTAAAACAAGAACTGATCGGCTCGATATCAGTATACTATGTCTGTGTGGGGTATTCATGTTAAACTGTGGCATGGTGTTTCAGTGTGCTAGTACTATAAAATCGACATTATAGTCCGGAAAAGTACAAGCAGCCACTTACACATACTCTCACGTGCGTGCATGTCGCCATATACGAGCAATAATCGTGGACGCGGAGTTCACCATTTCACTTCACCTCACAACATATGATGACTTTGTTCCTTTGCAAATGTTGAGTTGTATATAGCAATGAAAACGTAATTTTAACAGTAGACGGTCGCGTAGTTGTCTGGGTGCCTAACTGTGTAGCGTAGCCATCGTAAGGTATCGCTTCCACTTTCCCGAGTGTTTGTCAGGATAACTGCGAAGAGTTATGTCCCTTAACGTTGTCAGGATATGCGGACAATTGGTTTGAATCCAAAATGTGTTTAATTCATATTCCCTGACTCGTCAGCGACGTGATAATTACAACAAGTGTCTCTTTCGGCTGTCTGGGTACAATGTGTGAAGCCCATTTCTGGTGTCCCCCGCCGTGATTTTGCTGGAATATTGCTAAAAGCGGCGTAAAACCATACTCACTCACTCACTCACTCTTTCGGCTGTCCCATAGTATTCAGTTGATACAACCATTGGTTAAGTGCTGTACTGCGGACAGTTGTAATTCAAACCGCGGCGAATTATAACTGCATTGCAGTAAACTGCAATAATCCTAAAATAAATTGTCATAAAATGCTTTTCCATTGCTATTGTACAAGGAAACAGACGTGAACATGTGCGCCTAAGCTATTTGGAAATCAAAACCCGGACGTTGAAAACATGATTAGACACTGAACAGATCAATACTACTATATAAACATATGGTTCATTTCTATGTTATGGGGGGAGAGTGGGGGGGGGGGGGGGGGGGGGTTGCAAGTAAGTGCTTTCTCGGGCATGGAGCAGTGTGCGCAAACGTACCGTACTGCAGCACGTGTTTCATGCAGACGTTGATAATTAGTCCGCCCAAGTCAAGACGGGGTTCATGTTTTGGGTGTCTTTTCAGATCTCATAGCACAAATTAACATTCAGTTCCTCGGTTATTGCAGCTTACTTTTTTTAGAGTCACCTTTTGTTCCCAAGTTGTTTGATATGATATAATTGCTTCAATCATTCTCTATTTCCTGTTTTTCCGTTGCGCATCTGGGGCACGGGGGGCCAAGTCGTCTAAGGCGCCGCAATTCGCTGTGTAGAGTTGCGTCCCTTGGGCACGACAGAAGCCTATGATTGCATGACCGGGATACAAACGGATCCACTGGTCGGGGAACAAATAAAACCGCATTTGGGCAGATACTGGTACCCGGATACCTGCAGTATAATAATAATAATAATAATAATAATAATAATAATAATAATAATAATAATATACTGCCGTATAATAACAATAATAATAATCGTATCCAAATTGCGTAGATCGATGCGCATTATGTCTATCACTGGATTGTCTGGTCCAGACGCGATTATTTACATACCGCCGTCATACAGCTATGAGCGGCGTTAAACATCAACAACAAGAAAGCTTTCAGCGCCACGTCTTCTAAAATTTGTCTGTTATAGTAGACCGCCTCCGTGGTCTAGCGTCCGCCTGGAGAGCGGGAGGTCCGGGGTTCGATCCCCGACCGCGTCATACCAAAAGACGTTAAAAGATGGTACTTGTTGTTACCCTGTCTGGCGCTCGAAATTAAGGGGCGAAAACAAGGACTGGTCGGTTCGGAGTCAGTATACTGTGTCTTAATGGGGTATTCATGTTAAACTGCGGCATGGTATCTCGGTGAGCTAGAACTATAAATCGGCATCAGTCCGGACTAGTACAAGCAGCCACACACACACACACATACACACACACACACACACACACACACACACACACACACACACACGTGCATCCACGTCGCTATATAAGTGCAATAATCTTGGACGCGACGTTAAACCCCATTTCACCTCACACCTCACCTGTTATAGTAAATGTCCACACACAATCTCTTCGATTTGAATGTCTGTCTGTTGTTTAACGCCGCACTCGGCAAAATTCCAGCTCTGTGACGGCGGTCTGTAAATAGTCGACGCGTAGAATACTTTCCACACTACACTCACGACTCATTGCGGCATGGCGTTGCTACTTCCTTCGTTACCCAAAGATCCATGTGATAGTTGTTTTTTATTAAAAGCATGAAAGAATTTTTAAAATATCTGTCGACGCCCATTTGGCGGTACACATGCTTGCAAAGCCTGCAGTCGTCCGACGTCCGCAGGTTGAAATCCATGTTTACGAACCAAATGTCTAGCTCGCTACGCGATTTTGATTTTGATTAGACAATGCATAGACTCGTTAGATCAGCCAAACTGTAATAATTGCAGCCTAGTTCGGCAAGGGTGGAAACTGGACTTTTACAGTCAGTTAATTCCCTTGACTCGGGAAGATGACCAGCTGAGGGACCGACCATTTGATATCCTCGGAAGGAGCCTGGAATTTTATCGAAAGAATAAAATTGTCCCTGAAACAGGTGAAAAAATGCTTGAGGCTGTTGAAAAAGGGAATTGTCAGGCATTAAAAATACATAATTGTAAGATGTCTTATATAATAAAAATATAATTAGGCTCGTTGTTTTAATTGAAGAAATATCTTGGTTTGCAGATATAGCTGAAAAGATATCTAGTTTCCATACAACATCCCCGCCCCCACCCAAATCGTCGGCCCGTAATGTATAATTTATTATCATATTACAATTTGCAGTAGAGGTTTTTACATTTCAGCGCAGTGCAGTTATTATAATTAACCGCAGTTTTTATTACAGTTGATCGCAGTTTATTACATTTCACCGCCTTATTAATTACAATTTAAGAAACCCAAACAATTTTCAATGTTAACCCCATCTTATTTAACCACTAATAAACAATTCCGATCATCTTGTGGACTTTATTTTTACCGTATTGCTATATTTCGTTTCACTGCAAATACTACTAATTGTACCTAATTCTCCTGTGTCAGCATTTCTCTCTTGCCGCTATCTCGTCAGTCCCTATGGTCCGTGATATGGTGGCCTATCTTTGGTTGCTGGCGATCTAGAGGCCGTGTTTATCTTGTGAAGTTAATTTATAGTTTCCTCTTTTAAATGTTCCCGAACTAGTTTTAAAAATAAAAAAAATGTGATATATTACTAGTCATAGTGCAGTTTATCGTTGACAGGATAAAATATATTATTATCAATGTATAATATTTTCTAGTCACGATATGGGACCGCCTCCGTGGTCTAGTGGTAGGGCGTCCGCCCGGAGAGCGGAAGGTCCGTGTTTCGATGACCGGCTGCGTCATACCAAAAAGACGTTAAGAGATGGTACTTGTTGTTACCCTGTCTGGCGCTCGGAATTAAGGGGCGAAAACAAGGACTGGTCGCCTCGGAGTCAGTATACTGTGTCTGAGTTGGGTTTTCATGTTAAACTGCGGCATGGAATCTCAGTGAGCAAGCACTATAAATCGGCATCAGTCCGGACTAGTACAAGCAGCCGTGTGGAATAGAGCGAGCTTGAGCTGGCTAGACATGCTTTTGTATGCGTTTCTAGATATTCTTTTCTTCATAAAATAAATATATTCCACGGTCATGGTGCAGGACTAACACCCGTGCATGCACGTCGGTATATAAGTGTAATAATCTTGGACGTGACGTTAAGCCCAATTTTACCTCACCTAGTCACGATATGGATGAAATACTGCCGATGTGACTATAATTTTTAAAACAGTCGCTCACTTTTGCCGCTATCTGCGAATCCACTTGGATCCAGTTTGATAAGATAGTTCAGTGTCGGGAAACACACCTCGCACACCTGCGCATTGAGCCGCCATGAAGTGTCTCGTTCTCGTCAGCCTCGTGCTTATTATAGCAGGTTCGTTATGCCTTTTTCATTTCTTCTACATCTAAATCGCATATCATTCATCAGTTTGCAGCTTTTTGTAACAGGTCCAAACATCCCAATGAAAAATTTACCAACATATGGAATAATCAAAATACAATATTTAGACAACGTTCCGAATAATTACTTGAGATTCAAGATCGATATGGTGTGATATGTTAATGTCAAAGAACAGCCTACACGTTCTATATCATCGATCATACCCGTTGCCTCTAGGACCACCAGAGGGAAATTATTATTTAATATTTTATTAAATGATATAAAGCAAATATAAGCGAGTGTGTTTCGTGTCATTAATATCATGTGACAGGAATAATAATATTTATGATACGGAAGTACACAGTGTAACAATATCTTGTTCATATAATACCAGTCTTAAAAATATTAAAGTTTATGACATATTAATTGTCGTTCACAAAGCAGCTGAATAAACTGCGTAGGAATATAAAGCCTGAGTGAACCGCCCGTGTATTATATAGTGCCAGATCGTGATGCGAAGTTATACAGCTAACAAAAGTTAAAGAACATTTTACTAAAGATAATCTGTCATGTCTTCTTTCGTTGTTGGTGTTTTTGGGTTGTTTGTTGTTTAACGCCGCACTCAGCAATATTCCAGCTTTATGACAGCGGTCTGTAAATAATTGAGTCTGGACCACACAATCCAGTGATTGACACTATGATCATCGATCCACGCAGTTGGAATTCGATGACATGCATTAACCGAGTCAGCGAGCCTGACCACCCGATCTAGTTAGTCGCCTCTTACGACAAGCATAGTCACCTCTTTGGACAAGCATGGGTTGCAGAATCCCTATAATTCTTTCTAGTATTATATAATAATTCACCGCGTACCAGGATATTTCGCTGGTGTATTTGTCATGCCCGATATCTTCTGAGAATAAAGGGGAGGGGCAGTCGTCTAAGGCGCCGCAATTCGCTTTGAAAAGTTACTTATAATTGTGGGTTCGAATCTCGTTTCGTCCCGATTATGTTTCTAGGTTTGTCAGCATCATACCCGTGCATGTGGGTTTCACCAAAGTGGTAAACGTCTGAGACCTGCATCACTTCGGGCTTTCCTTTCACAATAGGTGACAATTCGTGACATAACTCGAATACTGTAAAAAAAGGAGGCGTTTAAATCCAACTCACTCACTTTAAGAATAATTAAGAGATGATATGGACGTCGGATATGCATGTATATGTCATGGCAAAACGGTTGCCTTGATGTTTCTATTCACTCAACGACGTGCTACATGTCACTTCTCGTGTTTTACATGTTTGCCATTAAGTACTGTTTCCTATCAGCTAATAATAGACCAGGGCCTATTTTTGTTTTTACAGAGTTCTCTGCTCTTGCCTGTGACTGTTCAGGATGCCCCACAGGGGGCGTGTGTGTAGGTCCCAGTGGGACGTCGCATAAGTTCTGCGTCTGCGTGGACGATAAGATCCTTGAAGGCAGAGCTGTTGCAGAGCACATTGCAAAGCACCTTGGCCACAAGAAGGTATACATAACGTTGTTACTCTCCACACTTAAACACAGCTTAGAGATTATAATAAAGTTGGTTGGTTTGTTGTTTAACGCCGCACTCAGCAATATTACAGCTATATGACGGCGGTCTGTAAATAATCGAGTCTGGACCAGACAACCCAGTGATTGACATCATAAGCATCGATCCACGTATTTGGGATCGATGACATGTATCAACCAAGTCAGCGAGCCTGACCACCCGATCCCGTTAGTCGCCTTTTACGACAAGCATGTCGCTTTTTACGGCAAGCATGGGTTGCTGAAGACCTATTCTACCCCGGAATCTTCACGGGTCGAGACGTGTAGCTTTTGATGATCTCTGCCGAACGAATGGTCCACATACTCCTTTGAGAGTATTGATATTCTTGTGGAAGGGCGGCTGGGATTTTGTATCGAGATTAGTTATTTTTACAGCTACAGCTACAAACCAGATATTTTTTTCTAGCTGTGATCCTGAATTCTTCCTCAAGCAATACACCTTGCAACAATGTAATTTTTGTGGCAGGCATTTTTTTTAACAGTGAGAAGCACATTTATATTTTCAAGAATTTTCGTTTAAACCCCAGCCCGTCACGAGATGGCTGAAATATTGCCGATGTGACGTTAATTTTAACGTGATTTTAACTCACTCGCTCACTAGGACGCGGATATACTGTAGACAATAAATGATTATAAATAGGGCGAATGTACAACTAGAATCTACTGCCGCAACCTGAAAGTAAGGGAGGTATCTCTGCACTGAGGAAAAAGGGCGTAAAATCTTACTCACTCGCCCTGCGTGTTCCAACATGTTCTCCCGTTTCAATGAACAGTTCAGGTGAGCTACATTTAAGCAGGAGAAATCTATTCGGATTTCATATTAATTCTAAAACACGTGTTAAGGAGTTCTGATGTTATCGTTGATAGTAGATGATCAGATGCGAAAGAAGTCCCCATAATGTTGTCTTGTTCGCCCAGGGCCACAAGTCCAAGCACCATCCACGAATGCCAGTCCAAGTCCGCAGGAAGAAGGTTAAGACCGCGAAGCTCCACAGGAAGAAGGTCAAGCCGTCCAGGCTCCACAGGAAGAAGGGAGCCAAGAAAGTATAAACCACGTGACATGGCTTATCTCCAGTAAACTGAAGTGTCAATGAAATGGGTTTCTTTTATTATTTCATATCCATAAATGATGCAGAACATTAAGGCATACTTTGGCCAAAATACTACAATAGACTTCAAAGTTTCAACTGGGTGAGTGAGTTTCGCCTTGAACAGAATTACGACTACATTCTGGAATGCCAGCTTATGTGGAAGGAAGGCCCTAAAGGACCCAAGATAATTCGATAGTCGGGGGAGTGGGGTTGGCAGGCTGACTTGGGATTTTATCGAAAAGCATATTGACGCTCATAGTTTCAATAAAGGAAATATCTAGTTTTGCGCTCCCACGCACACACGCACACCGTTTTAACCGCGTAACGGATTTACGTGTGCACACAATTTCACACATTACACATTATCGTAACCACATGAATCGGCCTCCTCTTCTGCCAATACCACCCCTTGTTTTTGTTCACCTAAACTGACTCAACACATTGCCTAACATTTTACCTGAACACCAGTTACAAACACTACCTAAAGCACGCATTAACTTAATCTTAAAATGTTCACCAGTTTACATCATTAAAACATTGGACACAATTAATTCCCAACGCTCTCAGTGAACCAACTCACACATCCAACCTTAGGTCTGTCATTGATTGAAAATTTCAGTCGCACTCAGGCTATATGACGGCGTTCTATATATAATCGAGATTGGGCTATGGTTGATATTATGAGCAATCAGCCACATCATTGGGGTACGGGCGGTCGGGTAGCCTAGTGGTTAAAGCGTTCGCTCGTCACGCCGAAGACCCGGGTTCGATTCCCGACATGGGTACAATGTGTGAAGCCCATTTCTGGTGTCCCCCGCCGTGATATTGCTGGAATATTGCTAAAAGCGGCGTAAAACCAAACTCACTCACTCACTCATTGGGGTACGATGCCACCTAATCAACCAAGTCACCGAGCCTGACCACCCGATCCATTTGGTCCATTTACGACCAGTATAGGTTCCTGGGGACCTATTCTAACACGGAATCCCCACATGGCTGTCAGCTAATGTAATTGGTTATTGGTTTGTTGTTAACGCCGCATTCAGCAATATTCCAGCTACATGACAGCAGCCTGTAAATAATAGAGTCTGGACTAGACAAAGCAGCTGGTGACATCATGAGCATCGATCTTGGCATACGATGACATGCATCAACCACGTCAGAGAGCCTGATCACCCAATCCGGTTAGTAAAGGTTGCCTCTTACAAACATGGGTTGCTGATGAAATACAGGGATTGGGTGGTCACAATGTGTGACCTGGTTGTCTGCATGTGCTTACGGATAGGAAGGGTCGTTCTTCATGCTATCAACCACATGCTTGCCTGACCCAATACTAGATATTGATGGAATACTGCGGACTCCTGAGTAAAACAACATTCACTTCATTTAATAAAGACTTTCGATAAGATCCAAACACCATGGCCAACATTTAGGATTTTTTTTGTTATAACCATGTTTGTATGATTTGCATTTAGTGTAGGGGCACATTAGAAAGTTTAGAAGGGTTTTTCTTTTTCTTTTTTTGTTTAAAGCTGCTCTCACAACATTCCCACCGTATCTCCAGGTGTTGATGGTCCATAAATAATTGAGCAAAATATCCAAGGATTTATGTTATGACCAAGATCCGGATCCAGGCTGCCCCAGTACAATTACACACAATATGACAATCATTCAGCCTGACAACCCAATCCATTTTGGCACTGAGAACATATTCTCACCGGGTATCTCCAACAAGGACGCTTTAACAAAGAGTGAATGTGTATGATTTTATGCCGCTTTTAGCAATAGTCCAGCAATACAATGCCAGGGACATCAGAAATGGTCTTTACATATTGTATCCATGTGGGAATCGTACCTGTCCTTCAGCGTGACCAGGAACACTTCAATGACTAGGGAACCCCTACGCCCCCTTTAGAAAAAGGCACATGGTACTGATATATCATACAGTTTTCAATACTGGCCCCATCCGTGAGTGAGTTTGTTTTTACATTGCTTTTTGCGATATTCCAGCAATAATAGGGCAGGGACACCAAGAATGGACTCCTGCCATCATACCCACTGGAGGACCCGAACCCTGAACCGTGGCCTGCTCATCTACCCACTGGAGGACCCGAACCCTGAACCGTGGCCTGCTCATCTACCCACTGGAGGACCCGAACCCTGAACCGTGGCCTGCTCATCTACCCACTGGAGGACCCGAACCCTGAACCGTGGCCTGCTCATCTACCCACTGGAGGACCCGAACCCTGAACCGTGGCCTGCTCATCTACCCACTGGAGGACCCGAACCCTGAACCGTGGCCTGCTCATCTACCCACTGGAGGGCCTGAACCGTGGCCTGCTCATCTACCCACTGGAGGACCCGAACCCTGAACCGTGGCCTGCTCATCTACCCACTGGAGGACCCGAACCCTGAACCGTGGCCTGCTCATCTACCCACTGGAGGACCCAAACCCTGAACCGTGGCCTGCTCATCTACCCACTGGAGGACCCGAACCCTGAACCGTGGCCTGCTCATCTACCCACTGGAGGACCCGAACCCTGAACCGTGGCCTGCTCATCTACCCACTGGAGGACCCGAACCCTGAACCGTGGCCTGCTCATCTACCCACTGGAGGACCCGAACCCTGAACCGTGGCCTGCTCATCTACCCACTGGAGGACCCGAACCCTGAACCGTGGCCTGCTCATCTACCCACTGGAGGACCCGAACCCTGAACCGTGGCCTGCTCATCTACCCACTGGAGGACCCGAACCCTGAACCGTGGCCTGCTCATCTACCCACTGGAGGACCTGAACCGTGGCCTGCTCATCTACCCACTGGAGGACCCGAACCCTGAACCGTGGCCTGCTCATCTACCCACTGGAGGACCCAAACCCTGAACCGTGGCCGCGTGATGAGCAAACATTTTTACCACTTGGCTACCCTATTGCCTACGCCATCCTATCACCTAAGGGAACATCCTCATATCAGTGTTCAACAATGGTCTGTAAAAAAGAAGAGAAAACAACCGCAGTGTGTCAACAAATATGTATATTTTAAAAAGATGGATTCATCAGATAAACATTCGGCTATTAAATGAAAACCAGTTTACACCATCTTGAAGCATAATCAATTGTCTTTGAAACAAGACATAATTTGAGGGTCAATGTTTTTCTTAACATGCTTAACAAGGCATTAATTTATGGACAACCCACAAGCTCCAGATAAATATACACATGACCTCACATTGATACAACAATATCATACACAGATTATTATGTCTGCTTATACAATGTTCACAGTACTTATGTACCATCTCAGCGGAACTGTTGCCATAGTTACCTTTGCCATAGTTACACGGGAACATTTTAAAATGATTACAGTCCCCCTGTTTAGCCCTTTTTTCTTCAGTTAAGTTCTTTACAATCAAGACCATCAAGAAATGCTAGTAATGACTGTGATACTAAGCAAGATTGTGTTTCTGTTTGAAGTATATCATAAAAGTCATGATAGAATAGCCAAACGCTTTCTATTTCACAGTTCTAATGCCCAGAATAATGGATGGGGTGGGATGAAGGCAAGGGTAGGGCTGGACAAGGTTAGGGGTGGGGATGAGGGCAAGGGTGGTGGTGGACGAGGGTGGGGGTGAGGGTGGGGACGAGGGCGAGGGTGGGGGTTGACGAGGGTGGGGGTGGGGATGAGGGCGAGCGTGAGGGTGGACGAGCGTGGGGTGGACAAGGGTGGGGATGAGGGCAAGCGTGGGGGTGGGGATAAGAGCAAGGGTGGGGTTGGGGGAGTTGGGGGCAAAAAAGATGAAACAACCAAAACCACAAGACTGAAAACACAACTGATCAAATGTCAATAGGAATATGTTCAAATATGCTTGAAGCGTTGGACAGTGAGTAGCTTATGCAGTTTCCCGAGGAAAGGGAGTGAACTGAGTATGAAAGTCCAGTTTCCACATGACTTTATAGTCAGTTACCTCCCTTGCCATCACTCACAACCAGCTTCACATGGATCTAAACGGGGCAAAAGAGGACACATACTTTCTCGTGCATATGTTGAGAGAAGGTTGTTGAATTCAACCAGTGAAACAGCCCAAAACATGCTGCTAGATTAATAAATGAAAGGATGAAACAGGCTGACAGGCTTCAACCACAAGACACAAGATTGATATCTCGATCTATGATCTATCGGTATGTCTTCCATATGTCTCATTCAACAAAGTGACCTTAACACTACGACTGTCGTAAGTCCATGCAAAAGTATGAGAGTTAAGATCATCCTTAGTACCGGGATAGATTTGTGGAATGGCAGGCAGGATTTATTCTCAGCAAGAACACTTTCATAGTGAAGAACCTAATCATGACTACAAATAGAATGGAACATCGTATCACATGTACAGTGTTACCCTGATTCTGCTTTCAGGACTAATATTGACAGGAACATTGAAATTTCAAAGGGACATTTTTACCTGATAATAATGGTATTAAGAACAGTTCGGGAATCCAGAATTTGTCAATGCAGTTAGGTTCATGTGGAATGAAACTGTCTGGACAAACAAGATTTCACGAAATATAGTTGTGCTCAACAGACGGTGATTGTGATGGATAGTGATATATTGTCTACAAATGTTTTACCAACTTCAGCTTGTGTTCGAAAAGTTTCCCCAATCATCAGTGTATCGATCCTTCATGACATAGAAATCCAATACTATGGTACAAATGCAGCTGACACAATATGATTCAAATGGATTCTTCTATCCCCTAAGTTCACAACTAACATAAAAGTCAGTCAGTGAAAATTCAAAAAGTTTTATCATTCATTTTAAAAAACTAATTTATCCTAAATCTGGAATAAACGTGTACAAATATGATTAAGTTAAGACAGTGTAATCCCCTTAAGCGATTTATATCTTGATTTACATGATACATGGGATAAATTCAGACTGATTCATTTTCATGATTTCATCATTTATGTTCACAATATTTCATCTGTTGCAATTAAAAAACAAACACTTGTCTACTTAGCAGGCTTTGAAAAAGATTCATCTACAGTTGATGTAAAATTCAAAAACTCCAGAAAATGTTTTGGTTCCTTCTCATTTGTTTTCATTGTTTTTCGTCTTTTTTTTAAAATGATAAAACAACTTTACCCCATCCACTTGGAATAAATTTCCATTACAGTTGAAACAGAATTGAAAATTAAACAAAGTTTTCTTGAGTTTCTAACATTCATTGATCATTTTGCACACTTTCAAAATAAAATACATTTAAACATTTTCTAAGGGCAGTAATGAATGACTTGTACACTGTAATCTCCCTTGCCATGCCATAACATCTTCCTGAGGCAAGGGAGTTAACTGACTGTAAAAGTCCAGTTTCCACCCTTGCCGAATTTCTAGGTTCGTGATACCACCAGTGGCTATTACGAGTTATGTCCCTTCTATATCCCTCCTATTCACCAATCACATTCCATCTCTCATATCACTTGCATTTACTTTAAATAAAATGGTGTCACCCAGTGATTTGTTTGTTGTTTAATGCCGCACTCAGCAATGTTCCAGCTATATGACGGCAGTCGCCCAGTGAAGACAATCGGATCGATAATCAAGATTGAAATAAAACAGGTCTTACTTCGTGAAGTACATCAAATCATGTGAGCACCTTGTTTAAAAACATGTACCGATTTGGGAAAACTGCAAAGCAGTTTACGAACATGATGTTGATTTCATTACGCAATTTTGATTGAACTATGCATAGACCCTTTAGTCCAGCCAAAATATAACTCCATAATTTCAGCCTAGTTTGGCATGGTCGGAAACTGGACAGTTATAGTCAGTTAACTCCATTGCCTTGGGAAGATGTGCTATAAGGGTGGGAGAAAGGTTTCACTCCAGCCAGGTCTACTCCATGTGTTGATGCTCTCTGTCTCCACCTCCCCGCCACACTGAAGCACACGCCAGCAGGAAGAGAAAAGTCACTCCAGCAAGGGAGAGAGTTGACACAGCATTAAAGTATTGCTTCTGTGTGATGCGCAGATACCAAATGCAAGCCAATATGAGGGCAAAGAGAGGCAGCATGAAAGAGCCAAGTGCTGCATCCCCATCTCCGTTGTCCATCTGTGGCTGTGCTGTGTGCTGAAGGTTCTGAGTAACCAGGCAATGTATAACACTGTTGTCGGTGATGTTGTAGCCTTGTAGAGTGTTCCGGTCATTGCGCATGTCTTGTCCGTTAAAGATGAGACGTACCAGTTTGTTGTCTGCAAGTTCAGTGGAAAAATGGGCTCTGCAAAAAGAGTAATACATGTGTACATGGTGTGAACATGGTTATACACTACCGAACTATGAACTGCAATTGTTGAGAGGTGTAAAAATTGTACATAAGAATGAGATGAGAGCAAGACAAGATGTTCTTCCATCAAAGTAAGAATGCATTGAACTAGTTTTTATCATATTGTCACAAGTGAAGCCTCATGTTGCATGAATCCTATTTATATAGAGAGTCAGAATCTATTTGTTTTCCACTTGTCACAAAAAGACACTTTCGGATCACACATCAAATATGTCCACAACAAGTCCAAAGTGATCTTTCTTATACCAATACATTTCTGACACCCCGAAGGGATGCAGCTCAGTCATAATTAGAAATTAACACTAGCCCAATAGTCCGGGGCTAGTACAAATTTCTGCAGGCCAGTACAAATTTCCTAATTTCCCCATTGTTTTAACATTACAACTTAATACAAGGGCCATTTATCTTTACCCAGGCTAGAAAAACCTGTGAGTTCAGTTCTAACACTGTCAGGTCTGAAGGTAGAATATGAACATCAGAGTAATGCCCTCACCTTCTGAACTGGCCAATTGTATCTCCAGGGTTACTGTACACAAGTCGCTGAGTGTCATTCAGATATTTTAACCTAATTCGGATCTGTCCTTGATTATCACTGGACTGGTTCAACAAGTCCTGATGTGTTCCACTTGATACAACAGTAGTGTTGGGAGAGGGGGTTGGGGAGGGGGAGGGGGAGGAGGTGGAGGTGGAGGTGGTTGTGGGGGAGGAGGAGGGGGAGGAGGAGGAGGAGGAGATTGGGGAAGGTGGTTCACTTGAAGGCACATGTCTCTGTCTCACTCCTGTCGAGGCTGCAACACCAGGCTGAACTGTCTCTGTTGAAGGTGAGGATGCTGTTGGCTTTTTACTTGCATCCTCAGCAGATTCAACACTTACATCCTGACTATTTACATTGCATGTCTGCAGTGCTGGTGATGAGTTGGTAGTCCTGCATATCTCACTGGCTATCACATTTGCAGAGTCTTCTGTCTTTTGCAACTCTACACGATCATCCACCACAGCCTTACTCTCATCACCAAGCTGGTTAGTTCTGGGCAACTGTGTGCCCTCTGTACCACTCCCTGATGTGTCAACCTCACTGCTGGCAACAGCCATGTTCTCCTCCTGGACAGAATCATCATTCTGTATTTCGTCACTTTCAACAACAGGGCTGTCACAACCAGTTTCAGAAACTGGGCCTGCATCGCTAGAAACAGCATCCTCAGCAACAGCATCGCTGGGAACCGCATCTGCTTCTCCGTCCGGAGTTTCGCCAGTATTCAGGATCTGTTGCCTCTCATGGTGTTCCTGTATTTGCCGATTCGCGTCGGCAAGTTGTCGCCGTAGAGAAGCCCTCTGTGTGAGCTCTACCACAATGAGGCTGAAGAATGGTATGTCCCGGGTATGTGTGGACAGCCATGCTATAAGTAGAACCACAATGAATGTGACCAGGCAAAAGATTATGGTCACCTCATCCCCCAACCCTTCTATGAGAGGCATGGAAAGCTTCGGGGACCTTCCCCAACTCCTATCTTTTGTGTTGAACCTCAGCTGAATCCCCAGTCCATCCTCAGCAACATCTGGAACATCAGTTAGGGTGTTCAAAATTTAGTATGAAAACCAATGGGTCTTTGTCACAACACTTATGTAAAAAGTTTGAAAATACCTCACCCGAATTATGAAGAAATCATGATTGTCATGTTTAAAATCGGATTGGAATTCTGATACATTTCAGAGAAGCCATAGCTTGGATCATTCATACAAAGTATCAGCTACTTTTGTCAGACATGTCGAAATTTGCATTAAGCACTCGAAAAATGGGGAAAGTTACAGACTAAAGTAACAGAATGATGAAAAAACATGGAAGAAACTGTATCATATTTACTTGCAGCATATCAAATTTCATGACGATACATGAATAAATGTATTTGGCAAAATGACATTTTCAATACATCATGATACATATCGAACATATTTAAAGTGAGATCAGAATTCTGTGAGCCAATCTTAGAGATTTCATTTGTACAAAGTTTCAGTTCCATAGATCTTGTAGATTCAGAGCATCCCATGAACAATGTTAATTCAAAGGCAGAGTTAATTTCACATGGTAATTTAACATACATGCATAGAATATGACTCAGTGAAGGACTTTATCAATTCTTGTAAGTGAGGTTTAGAGAAGCACCCATGTTTTGAAACATTGCAAAACTTAAACCGCAAAACTAAAATACAATGAAAAGGTTGCAGCCGATGAAAACTTAAAACATTTACTGTTTTCATAAGATGCAACAAACAATGTAAAATTGGGTACCGTATTCGACGTAATAAGCGCCCCGCTCTAATAAGCGCCCACGGCGGTATTTGCTAATATATTAACTAGTGAACAATACTAATTAGCACTGCTTCCGATTGATCAATGTACACAACACTTATTTATTCGTGTATAATACGCATTCGTGTGGTATATGCACCCTGAATAATGGTCAATTAAATTCTGGAAAAATGTATCTCTCGTATATTAACATTTCAGGCTGTCAGCATAAACCACAAAATTTATCACTCAACTCTGGGTTTTTTTCACCAAAATAATATTCAAATAAAAGCCCCCTACTTCTAATATTGAGGGCGCCCGGGACGCTTATTACGTCAAATACGGTAATTTGATTTTGAAAAGGATAACAAGAACAAGCTGAATTGGTCATTTTTTGGCATAAAACTAAAAGTATATGTTCCTGTAAACTACTTAAAAGAGCACAGTCCAATAGCAATAGGCTTTTTGTTTGTCAACTAGAATTATTATAATTGGTGAGTGAGTGAGTTAAGCTTAACACCAGTTTGTTAGTCTGTGCCCCAAACTTGTGAGTCTACGTTTGAGTCACTTTCAGTTGACTTAGTTTTATAGAATGGATTATTATAACCTGAGCTCACTAGACTGAACAGAAGTTTATTCGACTTGGGGCTCAGACTAGTGGCTGAAGTCGCAGAGTGCTACGTACAGTATTTCAGCGATATCACGGCATGTCAGCTGATTGGAAAAAGCTTTGTAAACAGTAACCGATATCCCCCAAGCTCACTCGGCTCTGTTCCCCTTATTGAGAGACAGACTGTTCTGCTCCAGTAACAACACCGCGGGTGAAGGCTTATCCTGTAACCAGACTTTTCTCTTGTTTGTAAACAAATGCACTTATTCTGAAATAAGAACAGAAGGGCCTAATGCAAGCTTTTCGGTGTGCTTTACATTTTGTTTAGCATAATTATATAGACATACTACTACAAACAGGACAGTGAGATGCATGATGATATAGCTTTACACATCAAAGGGACTGTATCTGTAGCTCTCTGAAGGCTTCGATGACAGCAAGTGTGGGATAAATATGCAAATGGAATATTTTTTTTTACTTTTTAGGATATTTTCTTAATGAAAGTTATGTTTAACAAAATGTGTAGACTTATCAAAAGTGGAACAGATGAAAAACAAATGAATGAACTGTGTAAGATGTGCCGATGTGACAGAGGTACTCAGAAGGAACTCTGGGTAGGACAGTGATTTGCTTCATACGACTAAGGCATATAAGTATTGTAATCTAGGCTTTGATAACACTGGCTTCAAATGTAATCAAGCTGGTAATTAGGATTTTGTAACTTCTCCGTAAGAAAAACACACTGGCTTTCTTTTCAATTTGTCTCTAATAAAAAAACTTTCTGAAGCCAGTTTACTCTGTGCAGCGCTAGTATTGTTGGCTTCGCTGTACAGATCTCTGTTGTTTTGGTTTGAGAATTGAATCATGCATGTGAAGTCACACTCAGAAATTATTTCATTCATGATTTAAAAACACACAATGTAGTGTCTCTTTAGGAAGAGATTTGTATGTATATCATAAAACTATTTTATATTTGTAGCCATTTGGAGATATAGAAGTGTTTTCTAAATCCTACAGAACATTCTTTCAGGGCGACGCCACCAGTAGTGACAAATAGAAAAAACAGGCATGCTACAAGGAACAGATGAGGGGGTGTTGTAACCGCAGCTACATTAATCAAGCTGTTGTACTGCTGATATGACACAAAATGAATTTCCACTAAAGGATCTCCTTTCAATTTCAGTATGACCTGATGACTATCTTCAAATGTCTATGGTTCATAATCTATGAAATAGGCAACAATTTAATACCTTACAACATATTCAACAGAAAAATGTACAAAAGGCAAGTATGACGGCTGTTTCTCAAAGTGTTCACATTTCTATTGGCGTATTAGTATGTAACGAAATCAACAGTAAGTTTGATAGGTATACAATGTCGAATGAAGTCACAGCCGACTGCCAAGTCACCTTTGCAGATCTGCGATATGTTACATTAGTGTAGTTCTGTATTTTCCTGTTGTGAAGTAGACATGCGCCTCACAAACAATGAAATATCAGCGTCATTTGCTCGAAAGGTTTTCAAGAAACTGAGCCTAAAGGATTGAATATTTTACCAATGTTTACACGTCATGCAACTCGAACCGGTAGACGAAAATATTTGCTAACATATTTCGTGTTTATGTTACTAATCTTATCTGTCCCTTGAGTGACATTTAAGCGTACATGTGTTTGTGAGAATGTTTGAAGAGGAAAATACCTTTTATGGTTTGTAGCTTGTATAATTTCAGACACGTAAATATTTCACTGAAGATGTCGTTTCTCTTCTCCGAGTCTTCACTTCGACAGACTAGGTTTCTGCCAACAGTTGCCTTTCGTCGTTTAAATGGGAGGTGGTGCGCTAAAGGGTGAAAGAACTAGTTTTACCACTGCCACACCTCGGGAGCCGGAAGTTTGGACGTTTGTGATTTTCCATTTACGCGTTAAAAGAATTTTAATATTTGCACTAACAGTAGCTAATATTAAAATGGTAGCACTGCGATATGATAGTCTAAACATTTTCTTGCAATATTGTGGCACAAACGTATTTTCTCCGCGGATATTTTGAAAACTATTTTCCCTACAACGATTCGGATTGCCGTTGTAACCTTCTATTGAATACCAAAGTATTGTCAATACTATTTGGCATAGTTACATACTTCACTGTACGTGTTGGAAATACCATTGCTTTAGATGAAGATGATTATTTTAATCAACGCTACCGCACAGTACAACTAAGGTTTTATGCATCCCGTTACCTATGCTTGTATTGGTACGCTGTTCATGTGTACACGTGTGTTCATTTAATCGCTATCTGCATATGGGTAACATCATGCCTCTAGTTAGTGCAAATGCATATACGTACCCACGCGTGTATTCGAACGTTGTCTCTTTAATAGTTGGCCCCTGAAGCCTAAACTGGTTTTAAGGGAAGCTACTTTATGGATCGAATGGTCAGACTCGGTGACGAGGTATTGTCGTACCCCGACGGAGTGGAACGCTGCTCATAATACCAATCACTGGTTTGTCTGGTCCAGACGTTATTATTTACAGGCCGACATTATACAGTTGGAAGGGCGACGTTAAACAACAAACAAACAACAACCATCTTTTTACTTCGTTGAATATGTCAAATAGTCTATTCGAGCTAATTACTTCACTGTATCCAAACTATATTAAGAAGATCAATGTAATTGAAATTATATTGTTTATATTACCGGTAGATAGGCTGGGGGACTATGACGAATTATTTTGTTGCTTGAAATCAACCACCGTGGAACATGTCAAGATACAACGTAAATCTCTTGTACGGGCTGGGACGAGTCCAAATTTACTACCCGGGTATATCCGCATTCCTATTACCCGACCCTACTGGGCTACCCGCTGTTGGTGTCAAGAGATAGGTACGAAATGTCCGATTGGGAATAGTTTGACAGTAGCCCTGGCAAAATGTATTTAGAGACACGTATATACGATGTGGTCATGCATACACTGAAGTTGACTGAAGTTTTAGCTTTGTTGAAACATATATAAGTCAGAAAGAACGTGTTCATAATCATGAAGAAATGCGAACATTAGAGACTTAAAATTGTCGTATAACGCTGTAGTTATGTATTCTAAGATGTCTGGACATTGTATTTTATAATCATACATTATTACATATATACAAAAAGTAAGAAAGTAAATCGTAGGTCAATATTTTTGTTTCCATCAATGTTCTTTCTGCTCATCCTTATATGTAAACTGAAGGGCAACAGAAAGTATACTACGCAGCTGATTTTATCACAAGTTTGATTTTCAATTGAAAATATATTAATTAAGTTGGCGATATTACATTTAAAAAACGAACTCTACTGGAGCTTAGTCAACACTCACAGAATATGTCTAGTATTGTCTACATGGTTTTATTTTTAAAATATCATTTGATTTAAAACTTTTAAAAGTTTAAACAAATTCACAAAATACATAGCTGCTGATGGCTATCTTAAACATCTTTTCTTTGAAAATCATTAATAACATTTCATAAACGGAAGGGATCATGTGGTTACAAATTCGATTTTTACCCCAGTCTTCATTGAACCAATTTATTATTACACAAAATTACCCAACAACAGATTACTTGTTACAAACTGTTGCAGGAATGAGTGATGGGAAAATAGAGATAATCGAATTTAACAACAGTTCTTTCAGTTTTCGATTACATAAAAAAACTCGGTATATTTTTTGCCCCTCAGTTCTGAATGAGGGGTATTTGTTTGTTTGTTTGTTCCTCGGTTCATATCCTTATAAAAAACTTGTTCTTCTCGAAGATGACTTTTCAGTATGGTGAGTGCGTGTGTCCCTGATTCAGACACTCACAGCCAATGCTCTATCGCACACCTACAGCGTATTTAGAAGGCATACTTATCCCATATGGATGTATATTTAGGGCACATTAAAAGCCTACGTTTCCTCAGTTGCATGCGACCCGTGAAGATCCGGGATATAATAGGTCTTCAGCAACCATGCTTGCCGTAAAAGGCGACTATGCTTGTCGTAAGAAGCGACTAACGGGATCGGGTTGTCAGGCTCGCTGACTTGGTTGATACATGTCATCGTATCTCAATTGCGTGGATCGATGCTCATGATGTCAATCACTGGATTGTCTGGTCCAAACTCGGTTATTTACAGACCGCCGCCATACAGCTGGAATATTGCTAAGTGCGGCGTTAAACAACAAAGAAACAAACGAATGTGGTAATTAAGGAGACGTATCTGTCTGAAATATACATGCCTATGACAAGTTAATGTTAAACATCTCGCTGATCAACACAATAGAATCTTTAATCACGAATGAAAAGTCGAGTCAGATAGGCTCTGATTATTTTGAAATCTGAGAATGTTCGTTACTGGTGTTCTTTGCTGCATCAACTCAAATGCGTAAAAATAGCTCTCTTGTCAGGTCCACAATAAGATAAAGTTTGCCATATATCTTGTATAATTCTGAAAGAGACAATTTTTTCAATCCAATCCATCGCTTATTTAGTCTTCTATTTAGTTGTTTTCAACAGTATTACTGCAATTATTTCCACAGGCCACTGGAAGACGGTGACACTAGCTTATAAATGGAACTTCTCTCGAGGATTATAGTATATCATATTTCAATTAGTCACATGATCACACTTGTTCAAGATGGCGATATCAGCTGCAAGGGGACGGCTAATAGCTGTCATTGGCGATGAGGTAATGCATGACACCAGTGCTGTATTCATATTTGCGTAATACATGTTGAATTTCCAACATCTACAGACCAACAATAATCTGGTTGTGTTATTTCAAAATACATTGACAATAAACATACATATTTTGGGATGTCGGATCCTGTTTACAATCCGGCATTGAATCATGTTCACGAGTGCAATAATCATTTTAGTTGAAAGTCACCTTGTCGGTCAAACTTAGGAACTCAAAGTAATTTTTTCATCACCACTTCTGTGATGGAAATATCCCAGCAATACCCGGAGGCCAAATTCTGTTGTTTCTGGATAAGAAAACCTTAAATAATTTAAATATTTAACCTCTAATTAATAGTACGGATGTATCTTGACACTATATGCTAGGTAAACGAGTTTATTAGACAACACTGCACGGGATCACATGAACAAACACAGGTAAGTTGTGCTTGTTTTCCTGGTAATTGGCACCTGGTTAACACACATGGGCACAAATGTAAATTATCATTGAAACTTGATAACTTGATAACTCGATTTTAAGAACAACATTTGTGAAAAGAGAGTGAGTTAAAGGGAGCAGGTCAAAATGGCCTCATGTCAGAACGGCCTCAATAGGTAAAGTCAAAACATCCACAGAAAAAAGTCAAAACAGCCACAACCCATAGTCAAAACGTCCACACACAAAATAATGAAGACAAACTCATGTATTGTGTCACATTAATTGTATTATATATACATTGTATAATAGTTCTTAACATGAACCATATGCACACAGTTCTTAATTCAGCACTAACTCAGTACTACACAAGTGACTGCACAGTTCTATATCACAGTTCCATATCACCTATTAAACCCTTGATCCAGCAGCTCAGTTGGTATTATGCCGCCTTCCTTGTACATTCTCCAGACCGCAAAGATTTCTTCTTGCTGGTTTGTAGCATTCTTTTTGATGTAGCGACAGAGTTTGCCAGCTTGCATCTCGGAATAAGTTGAAATAAAAACACTGAACGGTTTCCTCATTAGGATAAAAGTTCATTCATTTTTTCACAACAGATTGGTACACTGGTCAGTACAGAGATCAAAGAAAATTGATGAGATTGGTTACAACAACATGTGAACTCTACTGGAAGATATTACATTGTAATATCAACATTTAACATGTATACTCTGTATACATCCTGCTAACATTCATTAATATCGGGGGCACAGGTGGCCCAGTCGCCTAAGTCGCCGTGCAGAGTTACGCCCCCTTGAGCACGCCAGAAACCTATGTGGGTTCGAATCCTGGTTCGCCCTGATTATGTTTCTAGGTTTGTCAGCACCATACCCGTGCCTGTGGGTTTCACCGAAGTGGTAAACGTCAGAGACCTGCATCACTTCAGGCTTTCCTCCCACATTAAGCTGACACGATGTGATATAACTGGAATAATGTTAAAAGTCCGTTAAATCCAACTCACTCACTCACTCATTTATTATCATGGACATTTTGACTTTTTTTCTGTTGCCTTTTTAAAATGGGTTTGTGGCCATTTTGACTCTTTTGTGTCCTTTTGACTTTTGACTTTTGAGGCCGTTCTGACATGAGACCATTTTGACTACAACCAGAGATATAGGTCTTTAAGGGATGTTTGATTGTATAGGGTACAAAACACTAAATGAGTGAGGAGTCAGTTTAGTTTTTGAAGATCTTTTTAGCAATATTCCAGCAATATCACAACAGGGAGTACCAGAAATGGCGTTTACACATTGTACCCATAATAGGAATCAAACCAGGGTTTTAGGCATCACAAGTGAATGCTTTAACCACTAGACTACCTAATCACCCCAACCAAACACTTAACATGCTTAAGGATCATAAAGAGTTTTTTTATCAAAAAACCCCAGTGAACCAAAGGTCAACATGGTCAAGGTAGCCAAGAGAATACAATAATGTAAAAATAAGTATTAGAATCTTTCTCTGTTATCAGTGAATATAAAGCCAGAAACCTATGATCGTGGGTTTGAATCCCAGTCACCCCGATAATGTTTCTAGGTTTGTCAGAACCATACCCATGCTCGTGGGTTTCACCAAAGCGGTAAAAGTCTGAGACCTGCACCAGATCAGGCTTTCCTCCCACATCATGCTGACACACCGTGATATAACTGCAATACTGTTCAAAGCAGTGTTAGACCGATCTCACTCACTCCCTCTATAGACCATATATCATCCTCACCCTTTTTCCATAACATTCTGTTGTAAAGAATCCTGTGTTTTAGACATATTTGATCTGGTGTTTGATCTGGTGTTTGATCTGGTGTTTGACCTCTGCTCCAGGACACCTGCACTGGTTTCGTGCTGGGCGGAATCGGGGAGATGAACAAACACAGACACCCCAACTTCCTGATTGTTGACAAGAGTAAGTCATATTACTTTGCTGTCCCTGGTTATTGTAAATGACAATATTTCTTTCATTGTCACTAACAATAACATTACTGTGTGAAATGTATTCTTACTGCCATTAAATTGCTAATAATTCATTGCTCTGAGGACACCTGAAGATCCGGGGTAGAATAGGTCTTCAGCAACCCATGCTTGCTGTATAGGCGACTATGCTTGTCGTAAGAGGCGACTAAACAGTTCGGGTGGTCAGGCTCGCTGACTTGCTTGATTCATGTCATCGATCTCAATTGCGTGGGTCTGGTCGAGACTCGATTATTTACAGACCGCCGTCATATAGCTGGAATATTGCTGAGTGTGGCGTTGAACAACAAACCAACCAACCAAATCATTGCTCTGAGAGAATGTGCAGTGTTAATAGTAATACATATTCATTTTCAATAAGAAGCCAAGGAAACAATGATGATATGTTTTCTGACAAACTGTGAGATCAAAACAATGTTACGGCAGAGATGATTATGTAAGAATCTTGAATGGAATTCTGTGATTTGAATGTCTTTTCCCTTGGCTTGGTTTTGAAATTAGTCCTCAAAAGTGTTAAACTGTTGCCATCCTTTAATTCTGTCAATTATTTGGCATACTGTATGTATATTGTATATAAATTTCTTTGAGTGAAGGTAAAAGTTGTCCCCGAAAAAACTCATCCTCAATTGAAAATATTTTGTAATAAGATTGTTGTCACCAGTCGCACTATGACAATATTGATATGTTTGATTTTTTTGATTTTTTTTAATGAGTTGTATCCTTAATTTTTAACAAATGCTACATCAATATACTTTGTGTCTACAGCTGAATTAATGCTAAACCAAACGCTGCTCCGAATTGGCGCTTACGTTTTTCTGATCATAAATAGTTTAATAACTGAATTATCTGATATATCAAATACTGAATATTTAACATGCGTGGTACTGAAATGACATGTGTCAGTTAGTGTGGTATGTGACGGATAGATCTGAGGTGCTATGTTAACCTGTACGTCTTTGGTTTCACTACAGACACAAGTGTCACGGAGATAGAAGATGTGTTCCGGTCTTTCTTGAAACGAGATGACATCGCCATCATTCTCATCAACCAAACTGTAAGTGGGGGGACTGTCCATAACCATCATTTCCTCAAATGTTTGTTAAACCTCACTACAACCTCAGAATATACCAGTCCAAACACTGACCTCAACACAACCTCAGAATATACCAGTCCATACACTGACCTCAACACAACATCAGAATATACCAGTCTATGCGACCTGTGAAGATCCAGGGTAGAATAGGTCTGATGGTTTCATCATTGAAAATAATTGATTAAAAGTCTTAATAATTCAAGGATTTATGTAATGGAGAAATCATAAGAATCTGTTGATTCAAGTTATTTCTCTGATATATGATTACAATAAACTATGTTTATAACGAACACGCTTACAACTAGCTGACAGATATAACGAACTGGGTTTTTTGTTCCCGACCATTACTGTATATATGTTGTATATATATGCTTATGATGAACTATGGTTATAACAAACTAAAATATGGTTATGACAAACTAAAATAAGTGGTCACTTTGAGTTCGTTATAACCGTAGTTTACTGTAGTTTATTATGTAACCGACCGCCTCCGTGGTCTAGTGGTAGAGCGTCCACCCGGAGAGCGGAAGGTCCGGGGTTCTATCCCCGACCTCATCATACCAAAAGACGTTAAAAGATGGTACTTGTTGTTACCCTGTCTGGCGCTTGGCATTAATGGGCTAAAACAAGGATTGGTCGGCTCTCAGTCTACTGTATACTGTGTCTGAGTGGGGTATTCATGTCAAACTGCGGCATGATATCTCAGTGAGCTAGCACTATAAATCGACATCAGTCTGGACTAGTACAAGCAGCCATACAAACACACACACGTACATGCACGTCGCTATATAAGTGCAATAATCTTGAACGCGACGTTAAACCCCATTTCACCTCACCTTATTATGTAAGCTAGTGATGCCTACAGTTGTGTCAGTTTTACATCTCAGAATGGTCAGTGAATCTCTGGCCCAGAATCAACTGCAACAACAACAGTAGTGTGATGTGATCATTATGGTTTAAGAGGGCTGAATGTATTTCAGGTTGCTGAGATGATTCGTCATGTGATTGACTCTCACCTTGAACCCATTCCTGCTGTGCTGGAGATCCCCAGCAAGGACGCTCCCTACGATGCTTCGAAAGATTCCATCTTGCGACGTGCCAAGGTGGGTAGCAGCAGTCTTGTGGTAGAAATTAACATGCTAGATCTTCTTGCCAAATAGTGATGTCATTACAGACAATATCCTAGTTGGTTGGTTGGTTGGTTGGTTGGTTTGTTGTTTAACGCCGCATTCAGCAATATTACAGCTATATGACGGCGGTCTGTAAATAATCGAGTCTGGACCAGACAATCCAGTGATTATCCTATTGTCAACTCTGAAAACGGTATGATCCAGATGGCTGTACAGGTAGGTAGGTATACAACAGGATGCAGATATTTATCTCAATTATTTTTCAGTTTACAATGCTGCCAAAGATAGCCTCTGAGTCAGATTATTCTCATGACTGGGGGGCACGGGTGGCCCAGTCGTCTAAGGCGCTGCGATTCACTGTGCGGAGTTGTGGCCCTTGGGCATGCCAGAAATCTATGATTGAGGGTTCGAATCCTGGTTCACCCCAAATATGTTTCTAGGTTTGTCAGCACCATTCCCGTGCTCGTGGGTTTCACTGAAGTGGTAAATGTCTGAGACCTGCATCACTTCAGGCTTTCCTCCCACATTAAGCTGACAAGCCACGATAAAACTGGAATACTGTTAAAAGCGGCGTTAAACCCAACTCACACACTCACTCACTCACTCACTCACTCACTCACTCACTCTCATGAGTGAGAGGAATCCTGAACCAGGGATTTGCCTGGGTTATGTTTCCCAGGGGACTCAAAGCATTTAGTGGTCAGGGCCCCAGGTTTGAAAATTGGGAGCCCAGAGAATTGTCAATTTTAAGTGGTTCCAAGTTATAAAATAGCAGCATTTGTTCTTGAGCATGCTTACAAATTGTCTACATCCCTCTTGATGCACTCTGCATTTTTGTTTTGTCCTTTTTAACTTTATATGTGTATAGAATGCAGGATTTCACATCCGATAAACCTCTGTGAACATATTTAGACTGCATTACCTTGGACTGACACATCATGATACATGTGAAATACTGCTGAATAAAAACTCACTCACCCACTCACTCACTCACTCACCAGCTGAAGTCTGTATAGCAGTAATCTTTTTCTTTCCAGGGCATGTTCTCCGCTGAAGATTTGCGGTAGAAGATCTGACTCGAGTAGAGTGCTCAATGTGATGTAGGCTGGCCTACCCCCAGTCCCATGACGTGGGGTCACCTCCGTGTCGAGGGAGACAGTCAATATATTTTAGCAGAGGACATAGTGTGCAGGAGGCAAACAACAAGAATAAATTTAATAAATAATTCCTTGTGGCTCTGCAGCCAGAAATTTGTTTCTGTTTCATTTTTATGACAAGTCCAGTCTGCAGAGTTTGTAGCTGGTCATGCTTGAACAAGAAAACAAATAGTTTCTATGTTTACATTTTTTTCCTGTTTTATCTCAGTTCCAATTTGTAGGAAAATTTAAGCATTGAGAACTGGTTAAGAATTGTAGCCCTCAAATGTTACAAGTTAATCAGGACTGAGAGGATTTTACTTGTGCTCAACGCAGCTTTTTAGTCTTCGGCTAGCGGACTAGCATAATTTCGAAAGATGCTCTGTTAGTTTTCAGATTAAACATGTAAAAACAAATTAGATGATATTGACTCTTTAGTCAGTCAATGTTTGATGTTTATGTTTGTTTAAACCTTATCTGACTTAAAGAATTTGTTTCCTTTGTGTTGTGATTCTTGACATTTAATCTGCCTGTCTAGAACTGTCAATAAACTGAACATGTGTTTCTAGCACAATGTTGAAAATAATGTAGACTGAATCTCTCCCTGCACACATACTTTGGTATCGGGTATTATATCGGGTATTATATCATTTCAGAATCATTCTTAGTATTTCTTTTAATACATTTGATATTCAAAACTAGATTGTAGAAATTCTTCCCCAGTATTAATTTGTAAATACTTTTCAAACTATTTGTAAGTCTTGCAAATCCTGGGTCTGATTTTCTTTAATCTAAGCTTATGTGAATTTTCAATATGGCTTTTCATTTTGTACTGATCCAATCATAAGCCAACATTTCCTCTTTTTCTGGAATTGTCATGTGTCTTTGTGAGCTGTCATCTGATCTCTCAGGCCAATGAACAATATCTGCTTTCAAATTGTGCTTGTTTGTAGTCTTAATTTCATTTTACATGATTGAGTTGGTTAATGGTAACTGTTACTACAACTGATGTTTGTATGTATCGGTAGGTCAACCTAAACATCACTATCTAGTCACAACATTTGGATTGAATGACTTGTGTGACAAGTACAAACAAGGGAGGTAACTCGTGCTTTCACGGAGCACACAAGGGAAGTAACTGTTGCACATTGTTGCACTGAAACATGATTGGTTATAAACATAAAACCAGCCTGTCGATGTTAGATATATCTATCACCCCAGACCATACATATCTTTGTTGTTTACAGATTGGATTTACATAAAAGGGTTGGCTGTTCTATGGTGTATATGTTTCTTTGTATTTGAATATGAATAAAGACTGAAACTTTAGATAATAAAATAGACCATTATGAATGTGCGACTTTGTTATTTTCTTTCCGTGAGATGTCTCTGTTGATGACAATGTGATGCAGAACAATTTCTTAATAGATTTATTAACACTGTACATGATGCAGACGTTTTGTTTACATTTAAGGCTGACTTTTAGGTCCTCTATGATTTGGTTGATGGGGCTGTGTGCCATCGTCGTTAGTTGTTATCCATACTATCAGGGACGGTCGGGTAGCCTAGTGGTTAAAGCGTTCGCTCGTCACGCCGAAGACCCGGGAATCGTTCGATTCCCGACATAGGTACAATGTGTGAAGCCCATTTCTGGTGTCCCCCGCCGGAATATTGCTAAAAGCGGCGTAAAACCATACTCACTCACTATCCATACTATCAACCACTTGTTTGTCTGCTCCAAACTTTGGGACACGAGTTTCTCAATTTTCTAGGACAAGGAAGAAATTCGCTCTGCGAGTTTGAATACATACGATTGAGGGTTATAATCCCAGTTCGGCCCGATGATGTTTCCAGGTTTGTCAGCACCGTACCTGTGCTTGTGGGTTTCACCAAGGTGATGAACGTCTAAGACCTGCCTTACTTCGACATTTCCTCCCTCACCAAGCTGACACGCCGAGATATAACGGAAACATCGTTCAAAGCAGCATTAAACCCAATACTTAGTAACTCACTCTGGTGCGACTTGGGAATGTGCTGTGGCGAACTGTACAGTGCGTTGAGGGTATGTTTTCATGAGCTGATTTTACAAACTACGAGAAAGATTTCTTGTTCAGTATTTCTAACATACACCACCTCAGTCGTGAAAAGAATATCTTAAAACGTTGTGCCATGATTAATCAAGCCCATAAAGTCAGTACACAAATATTAACTCCGCTCGGGACTTGCTGACTTGTTAATGCATGTCGTATCCCATTTGCGTAGATCGATGCTCATGATGTCAATCATTGGATTGTCTGGTCCAGATCCGGTTATTTGCAGACCGCCGCCATACAGCTTGAATATGCATGGGTGCGGCATTAAACAAACAAACAAACAAACAATTGTAACGCTGTCCTTGTGTAGTCACTTTTGCCACGGCTTGTGATTGATGTGAGTGAGTGAGTGAGTTGGGTTTAACGCCGCTTTTTTAACATTATTCCAGTTATATCACGGCGTGTCAGCTTAATGTGGGAGGAAAGCCCGAAGTGATGCAGGTCTCAGACGTTGACCACTTCGGTGAAACCCACGAGCACGGGTATGGTGCTGACAAACCTAGAAACATAAATGGGGCGAACCAGGATTCGAACCCACAATCATAGGTTTCTGGCGTGCCCAAGGGACGCAACTCTGCACAGCGAATCGCGGCAAATCCTGGCGAAGGGTCATGGTGGTATATAATATGCTAATATAAATAATAAAAAATCTAGTTAAACTATGTCTTCCCTGACTCGCGGAGCATGCACATCATACGAAATGCACTTCTGTTATGACCTCTTAGGGATCCCGGGGCAGAATACCCACCCAATACAGATTGGGTAAGATCCTATTTAAATGAGGATCAGAGGTTATAAGGACAGGCTTGTTGTTTTGGGTTTATGGGTTTTTGGCTTCAAAATGCAGGTCGGTTTCAAATTATTTGTTTTTATTTCCTTAAAATGTTAGGTGGAGAGGAACCCAAATTGGGAGCTGGAGTAAAACAACTGCAACACTTATTATTTGTTTTAAATTTAGAGGAGAGAAATGTATTGTGTTATAAATAAATTCATCGACTCTATGTTAGTCTAGCTTCCCTGATCCAGACGCACTTATTTCCGATGGTGAAGACCGGGTGGTCACACTTAATGTTGGCTCTTGTTGATTGTAGGCATTGGATCCCAACAGCGTGGGTCGTTGTTCATGGTATCAACCAATCGTTTGCAAGACCGTACTTTCTATTATATACAGACTTCGTAGTTACATCTTTTGAATATGGCTATATGGCATAAACCAACATTCATTCCGTGTAGTGTATGTATATCTATTGCCTTGGATATATATAGGTCATATATTCAAATATGCAGCAGCGGTTTGTCGGTTTTAGTATTTAGTAAGTTGAACAAATATAAAGTTACACTTCGCGGCAGGCAGAGGTCAAGAGGGCCCACGTGTATTCTAGCAACATCTACCCTGGATAATCAGAGCGTGAGGTGGATGTAATCAATACTGATCACTGGCAGTGATGCACTCTTGACCCAGGTATCAGGTTACTCTCTATTATTGGCACTGCGCTCTAAAGGCCACCCCTTGAACTTTCTGCTCAAAACACCCCCAGGCCTGTGTCTCAAGGTATTTAGCAAGTCGTGCCCGAAGTCAACGTATGACTAGCACAGTGGGAATATCACCTTTCAGTACGCCTCCATCCACAATACTATCCTTCTGCCCACAGAACCATACAGTAACCCTGTACCCTTACAATATCCCTAATTTACACAAAATACCTTTAAAATACCCTACTCTATCCACATCACACTCACAATATCATTTCTCTATCCACATCACCCTCACAATACCCTTACTCTATCCACATCACCCTCACAACGCCCTTACTCTATCCACGTCACCCTCACTATACCTTTACTCTATCCACGTCATCCTCACAATATCCTTACTCTATCCACATCACCCTCACAAAACCCTTACTCTATCCACATCACCCTCACAACGCCCTTACTCTATCCACGTCACCCTCACTATACCTTTACTCTATCCACGTCATCCTCACAATATCCTTACTCTATCCACATCACCCTCACAAAACCCTGACTCTATCCACATCACCCTCACAACACCCTTACTCTATCCACGTCACCCTCACAATACCCTTACTCTACCCACATCACCCTCACAACACCCTTACTCTATCCACGTCACCCTCGCAATACCCTAACTCTACCCACATCACCCTCACAACACCCTTACTCTATCCACATCACCCTCACAACACCCTTACTCTATCCACGTCACCCTCACAATATCCTTACTCTACCCACATCACCCTCACAACACCCTTACTCTATCCACGTCACCCTCGCAATACCCTAACTCTACCCACATCACCCTCACAACACCCTTACTCTATCCACATCACCCTCAGAACACCCTTACTCTATCCACGTCACCCTCACAATATCCTTACTCTACCCACATCACCCTCACAACACCCTTACTCTTTCCACGTCACCCTCACAATACCCTTACTCTACCCACATCACCCTCACAACACCCTTACTCTATCCACGTCACCCTCACAATATCCTTACTCTACCCACATCACCCTCACAATACCCTAACTCTATCAACATCACCCTCACAATACCCTAACTCTATCAACATCACCCTCACAATACCCTAACTCTACCCACATCACCCTAACAATATCCTAACTCTATCCACATCACCCTCACGATACCCTAACTCTATCCACGTCACCCTCGCAACACCCTAACTCTACTCACGTCACCCTAACAACACCCTTATTCTATCCACATCACCCTCACAATACCCAAACTCTACCCACATCACCCTCACAACACCCTTACTCTATCCACGTCACCCTCACAATATCCTTACTCTACCCACATCACCCTCACAACACCCTTACTCTTTCCACGTCACCCTCACAATACCCTAACTCTACCCACATCACCCTCACAACACCCTTACTCTTTCCACGTCACCCTCACAATATCCTTACTCTACCCACATCACCCTCACAACACCCTTACTCTATCCACGTCACCCTCACAATATCCTTACTCTACCCACACCACCCTCACAATACCCTAACTCTATCAACATCACCCTCACAATACCCTAACTCTATCAACATCAGGGGCGGTCGGGTAGCCTAGTGGTTAAAGCGTTCGCTCGTCACGCCGAAGACCCGGGTTCGATTCCCGACATGGGTACAATGTGTGAAGCCCATTTGTGGTGTCCCCCCGCCGTGATATTGCTGGAATATTGCTAAAAGCGGCGTAAAACCATACTCACTCACTCACTCACTATCAACATCACCCTCACAATACCCTAACTCTACCCACATCACCCTCACAATATCCTAACTCTATCCACATCACCCTCACGATACCCTAACTCTATCCACGTCACCCTCGAAACACCCTAACTCTACTCACGTCACCCTAACAACACCCTTATTCTATCCACATCACCCTCACAATACCCAAACTCTACCCACATCACCCTCACAACACCCTTACTCTATCCACATCACCCTCACAATACCCTAACTCTACCCACCTCTCCCTCACAATATCATTTCTCTATCCACATCATCCTCACAGTATCCTTTCTCTATTCACATCACCCTCACGATACCCTAACTCTATCCACATCACCCTCACAGTATCCTTACTCTATCCACGCCACCCTCACAGTATCCTTACTCTATCCACGTCACCCTCACAGTATCCTTACTCTATCCACGCCACCCTCACAGTATCCTTACTCTATCTGCATCACTCTCACAATACCCTTACTCTATCCACATCACCCTCACAGTATCCTTACTCTATTCACATCACGCTCGCTATACCTTTACTCTATCCACGTCACCCTCGCTATACCTTTACTCTACCCACATCACCCTCACAACACCCTTACTCTATCCACATCACCCTCACAACACCCTTACTCTATCCACGTCACCCTCGCAATACCTTTACTCTATCCACGTCATCCTCGCAATACCCTTACTCTACCCACATCACCCTCACAATAGCCTTACTCTATCCACATCACCCTCACAATACCTTTACTCTATCCACGTCACCCTCACAACACCCTTACTCTATCCACGTCACCCTCGCAATACCTTTACTCTATCCACGTCATCCTCGCAATACCCTTACTCTATCCACATCACCCTCACAATAGCCTTACTCTATCCACATCACCCTCACAATACCTTTACTCTATCCACGTCACCCTCACAATATCCTAACTCTATCCACGTCACCCTCACAATATCCTTACTCTACCCACATCACCCTCACAATACCTTAACTCTATCCACGTCACCCTCACAATATCCTTACTCTACCCACCTCTCCCTCACAATATCATTTCTCTATCCACATCACCCTCACAGTATCCTTTCTCTATTCACATCACCCTCACGATACCCTAACTCTATCCACGTCACCCTCACAGTATCCTTACTCTATCCACATCACCCTCACAGTATCCTTACTCTATCCACGTCACCCTCACAACACCCTTACTCTATCCACGTCACCCTCGCAATACCTTTACTCTATCCACGTCATCCTCGCAATACCCTTACTCTACCCACATCACCCTCACAATAGCCTTACTCTATCCACATCACCCTCACAATAGCCCTACTCTATCCACATCACCCTCACAATACCTTTACTCTATCCACGTCACCCTCACAATATCCTAACTCTATCCACGTCACCCTCACAATATCCTTACTCTACCCACATCACCCTCACAATACCTTAACTCTATCCACGTCACCCTCACAATATCCTTACTCTACCCACATCACCATCACAATACCTCAACTCTATCCACGTCACCCTCACAATATCCTTACTCTACCCACATCACCATCACAATACCTCAACTCTATCCACGTCACCCTCACAATATCCTTACTCTACCCACATCACCCTCACAATACCTTTACTCTATCCACGTCACCCTCACAATATCCTAACTCTATCCACATCACCCTCACAATATCCTTACTCTACCCACATCACCCTCACAATACCTTAACTCTATCCACGTCACCCTCACAATATCCTTACTCTACCCACATCACCATCACAATACCTCAACTCTATCCACGTCACCCTCACAATATCCTTACTCTCCCCACATCACCCTCACAATAGCCTTACTCTATCCACATCACCCTCACAATACCTTAACTCTATCCACGTCACCCTCACAATATCCTTACTCTACCCACATCACCCTCACAATAGCCTTACTCTATCCACATCACCCTCACAATATCCTTACTCTACCCACATCACCCTCACAATACCTTATCTCTATCCACGTCACCCTCACAATATCCCTACTCTACCCACATCACCCTCACAATACCTTTTACTCTATCCAGATTACACATTATCTCGACAATACCTCTCCTTCCGCAGCACCTCCCCAAATCTAATAATCTAATTATGCATATCAACCCTCCTTCCTAGACTGACATTTAGTACCAGAAATAAAGTAATCTTATTTAAAAATATATATCTACAAAATATAAACAAACAAAAGCAGTAGAATGCAAACGGAGAACAATCCTTAATTTTTTGGCTAGGGCAGTAATCTAGACTTGACAAATATTATAAACTTGCATGGGCTTTATTGGATAAATTTGGTTTCAGGGTCTGTGTGACAGACTACTGGCCCCACTTCATCAGCTGATTCCCTTGCTCCGATATCCCCCGCCACCCCACCGCCACCCCCGGCAACCCCGCTCAGCTGTGGAGATTAAGCTGCCTGTCACAGCGTGACGCCATGCCCTAGCAACGCAGTGACCGCGTTTGATCTCGTCCTGCAGCGGGGAAAAACTTTATTTTGAAAACTTAAGCTGAAGTTTGACATATGACGCACGTCTGTGAGAGACCAATACGTGGCTGTGATGGGATTGGTACAGCAGTGACGGAGACTGTTGCACAAACACACGCGGTCACTGCGACGGAGGGACCATTAGCATGTTGTTGACACGTGGAGACATTTCCATTATGCATGAATTAACTTTTATGTGGTATGATGAATGTGATGTAAACAACAAAAAACCAACTTTTTATACCTTCGTTTACAGAGCACAGCACGTTGTCATAAAGATATCATGAAATGAAATAGTTGACAATAGTATTTATCTATCATGTGGAAATGAAGTAGTAGCAACCGACGCTGTAGTAGATAAAAATGTAGCAACCGTCGAAACAGTAACAGCAGTCAAAAAATAGTTTGAGTCTAAATTGTGGTTGTCGTCGTCGTATTAGTGGAATAAGTTGTTGCAGAAACGTCGACATCATAGTGTATGAAGTAGTATCAGCAACAGCAGCAGCAGTAGTAGTCGTAGTAGTAGTAGTAGTAGTAGTAGTAGTAGTAGTAGTAGTAGTTGTTGTTGTTGGAATGGAAGTGTAGTAGTTGTAGTAGAGGTTGTGGTGTGAGTGAGTTTGTTTATTTGTCGTTTAACGCCTCACTCAGCAATATTCTAGCCATATGACGGCAGTCTGCAAATAGTCCAGTCTGGACCACACAATCCAGTGATTGATATCATGAGCATCAATCTACGTAATTTGGATACGGTGGCATGCATCAACCAAGACAGCGAGCCTTACCACCCGATCCCATTAGTCGCCTCTTACGACAAGCATGGGTTGCTGAGGATCAACTCTACCCGAGTCTTCGCGGTCTTGGTGCAACAGTCTCGCCGTCAGAGACACCACCGTCATGTAACGACCACCGTCCTGTGATGACCACCGTCATCTACGCTAATAAATCACTGTCCATCAACAGAATTCGGTTGCCTTGGAAACATACATGCTGCGTCTACCCATGAATGTAAATCCTACTGTTTACGTCACGTGTCTGCAGGTCGTTTTCAGAGCGTACTCTCAGTATATGGCGTACCGTAAAAGCGACTTTACTTGTCGTAAGAGGCAACTAACGGGATTAAGTGGTCAGGCTGACCTTGTTGATGCATGTCATCGTATCCCAATTACGGAGATCGACGCTCATGATGTCAGTCAGTGGACGGTCTGGTCCAGACTCGATTAGTTACAGATCGCCGTCAAATGGCTGCAGTAATGCTGCGTGCGGCGTTAAACAACAAACAAAACAAACAAACAGTACATGGCCGTGTTATTAATAATAATAATAACAACAACAACAACAACAACACTTGTGTTCGCTTTCTCGCCATGTACTGTTTGTACACTCAATAATAATAATAATATTATTATTATTATTATTATTATTATTATTGTTGTTGTTGTTGTTGGTGGTGGTGGTGGTGGTGGTGTTGTATTAATTGTGGGGGAAAGATTAATAAATTCTCTTCAACAACAAAAACGTAGAAAGGTTTTATAGCGTTGTTTGTTACACAATACAAACTTTTTCGTGGCACTTTTTCGTTTCACTTTCAAGATAGATGAACCCTACAAATGGATGTTTGAGATCATCATTACTGAGGAATGCTAAGTGCATTTAAAACACCGTGTTGAAAGATGCGTCAGAGTAATTGCCTCGTTGAATCATGTGCTCTGTGTGCTGTACCCATGCGATGCTATGACAGTACCGTGCAATTCGCCGCCACGCAACACTACGCAGGTCAGACAGTATACACCTGTTGACACCAGTATACAACTTTCTTTAGTCAGGCACAGATGCCTTGTATTGACAAATTGATCCACCCTAAATCATATGCGTCGAGCAACGTGGGGAGTGAGTGAGTGAGTGAGTATTGTTTTACGCCGATTTTTGCAATATTCCAGCAATATCACGGCGGGGGACACCAGAAATGGGCTTCACACATTGTACCCATGTCGGGAATCGAACCCGGGTCTTCGGCGTGACGAGCGATCGCTTTAACCACTAGGCTACCCGACCGCCCCGTCAAGCAACGTGGATGCAGTGTCTGTTGATCGTCATCGAGGTCCGAAAATGCGAAACGTCGCTGCAGTTTGTTGTCAGCGTTGTCGGCGCTTCTTACACATATTTAAATAGCGTTAATTGGAATACCCACGGAGGAAGGGGGGGTAGTCGGACGTGATGCAGGTCTCAGACGTTTACCACTTTAGCGAACCCCCCACGAGTATGGTGCTGACACACTTAGAAACATAATCAGAGCGAACCGGGATTCGAACACAGAATCACAGCATCCTGGCGACTAACGGGATCGGGTGGTAAGACTGACTTGTTGATGCATGTCATTGTAACCCAGTTGTAGATTGATGCTCAAGGGACTCAACTGTGCACAGCGATTCGCGGCGTCTTAGACGACTGTGCCTCTCCTCCCCAAATACAACATAAATGTTGATGTTAGTTATAAGTCTGGTCGTTATTTGTGCCATATTATGTTATGGAGTAAACTGCAGCTTGTGGCCTGTTGTGTTCATCACCCCTTCCCGATTTTACCCCCCCCCCCCCCCCCCCCCCCCCCCCTCCTTGTATATAAACGCCATATCATCACCTGCTCAGCTTCTGAAGCAAGCATATCACAGCGACACAAGGCGTTAGACAAATACCATATGTCACACAACCCGTGTTGAAGCAATTCTAGATTCGACAAGCGCTATTGCGTAACAGTAGGTTGTCTTGGGTCGCTGATCATCACTCAGAGCAGTGAAGGGAAAGTGGGGTGGACGGTGATGTAACCCCTGGCTTACCCCTCGGGCAACCATTTCCCCCTAACCATTTGTCGAAACATACATTGAGTGAACTGTGCTTGTTCATATAGTGAACCGTGTTACGTGTGGTGACAGCATATTGCATGCATTGTTCCCCATTTTTCTGTTGACGTAATTACATTGTTAATTCAACTCGGACACATCCTTCAAAGGAAAGTTATTCAACACTCACTGGAGCGTAACAGCAAGCAGTCATTTGATGATCTGATGGCTGTCTCGCCCGAACGATCTGTAATCTCCTTGCTGCAGTCGATTCTATCAGCCTCGTCTACCCGTGTGTCGGTGTGAGGCCTGCTTGGCTTCAGAGAGGCGGTGTCTTTCTCAGTTGATAGTAGATAGCGATGGTTATACATGTGAGCGAAACAATTCCCATGGATCTTTGAGCAGAAGGAGATATACTCTAGAGTGCCCTGGCGAATGAACGGACTTAAGGATACCTTACTCAACCAAGGACCCGGTGGATATAATATATTCGTGTTATACAGAAAGGTAAGAAACGACGACTATTTATATAAATTAAATAAATTTGAAGATGGTGATATGCGATGCAAGGAAAGACTTCTCCTCTCCGAAAGTTATATATGTATGCATTGCCACTCAATCCCTTTAATCATGTATATTTTTAAGGGGAGACACGGGCCGAAGTCTTACCCAATATGTATCGCCCGTAAAACGTGTGTACATTAATTTATCGTATTCATTGTTGTTGTTTTGTAATTATAAACACGTGTATTTGAAAACTGTGAACTGTGCTTTAATGATCCCATATTTCAGGAAACTATGCTATACTGAACGGAAATATGATATATGTTGAGCTATGAGTACAAATGTATGCATGCAAGTTAAATATTTACATATGCTGGATCTGATAGTTCAACAACGTCTTATAGACCTTGGTATATGATATCATGACAGTGCTGTTATTGTGAGGGTCTGGTGGATGACGCGAGACAGGTTGTGTCTGTGTGTGAATACTGGGATATCCGTGCCATGGATGTGTTAAACACAACTCTATTAACTGTGTCACGCATTGTTACAGTCCTCAAGTTGCAGAAGAGTATGTGACAATTGTGACAGTTAGTTTCTGTAAACTAACAGACATATTGTTTATCACCACCTCGCCATGTCCCGTGTTCGAATGAACAAGGCATCATTATGTTTTAAAATGTTAGAATTTAAAACAAAATAGTCCATATTATTTTTCATAATTATATATTATTATTTTTATTATGAATATATTTTTCTGCTGGTGGTGCTATGTAACCGAACAGAAACATCCAACGTTCATCCAGGCCAAACACAGGCACTATTTCTTCACAGCGTGTGTTTCGGGATCGCATTAACCCTTATTCAATACTCTCTAGCCTGGGGCAAATTCAACTTTCACCCTTCACAGATGTGTGACATAATTGAATGGTCAACTGAAAAGCATTGGAATACATCGAAATTGACCAAAACAATAAGAACGTCAATCTTAAGATTCAGACAGTGCTTACACGTAATGAATTCTGGTAGTATTGTGAAAGATTCAGTCGCTCACTAGTCGTCATTCGGCTGAAAGACACGATCTGTTCAGAATGGTAAACCTACCTGAACCATGTAACATGGTATGTTCTTTCTATTTAACGAATACCACGGGTTGTAGCTAAAATGACACCTCAACAAAACGTCACCTGGCGTAAACGGCACCGATTGGCGATAACGTCACCTCGCCTCAAGCGAAAACCGCTACTATTGCCTGGCGAAAACGGCACCATTTTTTTTATCTTGGTAAAATAAATGAAATTAAACTTACATGGTAACTTGCAAACACAAACAATTGTGAAATGGTGAAACAAATTTACATTCGAAATTAGCCTCTACTCCAACTATATTCCAACTTAGCCTATATGCCCCAAAAGATACCAAAAGTACATACACACAAATAAACCCCACAAAAACAACAATAAAACCCGGAAAAACGCTACCAAATAATGGTTGGTCATCTGGTGTGATGAAAATTTTATCTGTGTTGTGTTATCAACTGTTCGTATACACTATTGATACAGAGATTTGTATATAAGTAACACCCCATCCACTTTTGATAAAAAATATAAGACGCCATGAGACTACTGAACATTTGTAATGAATGTATCACAGCAATAATTAATATTATGAATATTTACATGAACATACAAATGGCATACAATTTCATAAACCAAGTTGGGATAAAGTTAAAGACATGCTCTGTTACGTTGAATTCCTGTACACCCGGGTCTGTTATACCGCATAGATATTGTTGCGAGCACCTCTTAACAAAATGCAACATTTTGTACGTATGCTTCGCTAATCAAGATTGTTCTGAACTATACATACACTATACCAGTGCATGCCCTTTATACGAAGATTTCAGTTTGCGTCATTCGACTCTTCCTGAAAGGTTGTTTGGTCAGGGTTATAGCATTCAATGCATCAGTAAAGCTTTCAAAAAGTGTTATGGTAGAAATATGGAGGACATTTCCAAATCTGATGCTTCAGTGACAAAACTTATGCACGACGCCATTCCCTATTTTGACTTGTACCATATGTCCCCATGTTTCTTCATGTGAACCGTCAACCTGGTAGCATCACTATTTAACAGTGATTCATAAACACATGCTTATGATATAGTCGGAACCGTACACTGGACTTTGCTTTAAGCAGAGATTTCTTCTGAATATTAAAATGGTTTTGTCGATTTTATTCATAATGTTTATTGAACAATATATTGCAGTTCTTTCTATCATTTTGTCCATTTTCAATAATTCAGAATACGTTTTATGCCCGATTAGCTGGATCTAGAGGCAAGGCTGAAACTCTGCGAATATACATCTGGGGATTTATAATGACTATAGAAATAGTTTTGTCGCTTTTATTGTAATCCCGGCAAAGTAACCTACAATTGACCTGTCTGGATTAACGGGGGTCCACTGAAGTTGACTTGATCCCTTGACTAAACAGCAAGGTAAACTGGATATGTTGGGTTGTGTCGACATAACAGACTCCAGAAAAGGTCGGTTGTTCATGTTGAGGTCAAGGTGAACTGTCTCTTTCACATGTCTGATCTTGTTTCAGAAACCCAATACTCACGCCACCGAGCCCTGAGTGGTCAGTTACATACACTGCCCAAACCTGCTCTATTGAGAACTGAACCCTTAACCAATAACCATATATTATGTTTATCAAACTTAAATTATTCAATTGCCCATTAACACGATGAGAGGAGAGACAGGCATGTGATTGGTTGGCTTCTTGCAATGTACAACTCTACAGAAGCTGCCATTGTTTGTATCGTTAGTCAAGCAGATAAGCGCAGTTTAGTTTACGACTTCTGTGTAACGAATCAAGTATTCGTGATGGACATTTCATGGCAGTTACATAAGGAAATAAGCGATGCCAATAAAACTTGATATGCACGTCACTTTCCCACAGAAATAGTGAGTGGGTAATGCTTAATGCCCCTACGAACAGTATTATATTGTCATCATGGCGTGTCAGCTTCGTGTAAGACGAAAGCCTGAAGTAGTTTTTGTTTGTTTTGTTTGTTTGTTTTTTGTTTAACGCCGCACTCAGCAACATTCCAGTTGTTTGATGGCGGTCTGTAAATAACCGAGTCTGGACATGGCAATCCAGTGATTGACATCATGAGCATCGATCCACGCAATTGGAATACGATGACATATATCAACTAAGTCCGCGAGTCTGACCACCCGATCCCGTTAGTCGCCTCTTACGATATGCATGGTCGCCTGAAGTGGTGTAGATCTTTCACGTTTACTACTGAAACCCTCGAGCTTTTATGTTCACTGTGCAATGTCAAACTCGGGGTGAATCTGGGATTCGAACCCATGACCAGAGCATTTAAACAGCTAAGGGAGGCAACTCTCGACGCAACGCCTGATCAGTTTGTTCATGAGAACCGTCTCATCAGTATAATGACATTTTAATTTCGGTTTATGGGTCGTTGAAATCGAATCAAACAAGTTTATTGACAATAATCCGAATTCTCTTGACAGGGATGAAGAACGCCAACAGGACATCCTTACCCTTTTCATGAACTTCTGGTTTCACTGATTTTCAGTGATCCATTCTTATAATTTTGGAATCTGTCTCGGCGGGTAATCAAGGCTGGTTACTCTCTGGTGTTTTCATTGTATGGGTACACATATTTAAGTCTATTCCAGGCGAACAGTTAAAAATTATATTGACGAAAGAAAGCAGGTACAACAACCAAAATAAATATCTTATACACCAATCCAAAATCAGTTTCATGCACCATAACTAATGCATTCCATTTTGTCCAGTTGCAATATCAGTTTGAACCGACATTGGAATGCCTCGTGTTCCATAAGCAAACCGTTTTGGATGTTTGAACGGCCGATATGTCGGTGCGAGATCTGTACACAGTAGTTGACAAAACATTTCTTCAAGTGATAGTTTCTAAAAAAAACAATGCGTCATTGTAAATTCCAGGTGTATGCAATATCCTTCAAGCATGTTGTTGACGTAATTGGACCACGTAGGCATTTGTCTTGTAAGAGCGGGTGAGAAAGTCGCCATCTGCGACTGAGACAAACGGCTGCTGTCACCCTTAGCATGTGTAAACAATAGCGAACTGTTTTCTTCAAGTCAATCTCTATCACTAACAAGCTGGTGTGTATGACAGACAATGGAGTGCAACTAGGGCTCACATGTATAGAGTTTCATAACGCTGACAACCTGTTGGCTGTCAATGTCGTGACGGAAGGGGAAGGGAGCGGTTAGAATTTAACGCGTTCCTCATCACCTATGTTTGTAAAGACAACAGCATCATAACTTCATTTGTTTCAGAGAGCGAAAACGGCGTCATCCGAATCAGTCGAATATATAATTAAGAATGATGTTGGTTTGTTGTTTTACGCCGCACTCAGCAATATTCCAGTGATTGAAATCATGAGCATCGATCCAGGCAATGGGGATCGATGACATGCTTCAACCAAGTCAGCGAGCCTGACCACCCGATCCCGTTAGTCGCCTCTTACGACAAGAGTAGTCGCCTTTTACGGCAAGCATGGTTGCTGTAGACCTATTCTACACGGGTCAATTAAGAATGAGAAAATATTGGTTGACCGATTGGCACTGTATGTTCAGGGATGTTCAGGGATTAGTACTTTGCCGGGGATCGAACCTCCGACCTTACGCTCTACCACTAGATCAAGAAGGCGGTCTCACAGACAATGAACAAGCATGCGACACACCAGCTTATTTACTCTTGGGAGCTCAGACCAGGTGCAATCATGTGGGAAATAATATAGCCTAACGGCTGTGACCGTATCCAAACCCTAACCAAATGTCCCACACTGTCGTGTTGCGGTGTATCAGAAAACCCATCTTCCACTGTTTTCAATGGATCTTTATAGTCAGTTAACCCCCTTGCCTCGCGAAGATGGAAAAATCAGAGCGGAATGTTAAACCCCGATAGTCGGTCATAC